GAGCCAGCCCTGGCTGCCCTTGCCCCGCCCCCGCCTCTCTCTGCAGGGCAGGAGAGGGACGGGGAGGTTCCAGGGATATGCTCTACCTCCCTCCTGAACCCCCAGCAGCATCCTGAACATAGAGGGGCCTTCCAGCCATTTCACAGATGGGGAAACTGAGTCCCACAGAAGGCAAAACCCAAATAACATCGGTGGCCAGTGGTCAAGGCCTCCTCCCCAGCTCTCCAATGCTCCCCTCCTTTGGACACACTCCCTTCTCCTCAGTTCCTACCTCTCTCATTTCCCCGCTGCTGGCTCCTTCCCAGTTTTCCCAAATTACTTTTCCTCTTACTCTGCTTTTGGCTCCTTTGCCCTCATCTCCTCAGCCTCCGCCTATTTCTTTTCTTTTGGTGGGTTGTGGGGCTTGAACTCAGGGCTCTTCCACTCAAGCTTAATATTCTACCACTTTGAGCCACAGCTCCGTGGTTAATTGGAGACAAGAGTCTCACAGACTTTCCTGCCCAGGCTGGCTTTGAACTCAATCCTCAGAGCTCAGCTTCCTGAGTAGCTAGGATTACAGGAGTGAGCCCCCACTGCTGGGACAGCATAGCCCACTTCGGAGCCTGTGGATGATGCTGGGAGGAGCCGGGTGGGAGGCGGGAGAGGGAAATTCCCAAATCAGACAGCCATATGCCTTCCTCCTACTCAGCTCTACTTGAGGAACTCTCCTATTAGAGCCTGTTCTGGGACCAGACTATTTCAGGGGAACCTGTTTAGGACCCTCTGGGAGCAGGCTGTTATTTCCCACACACCCAATGTTTACAAAAGAAGCAGGTACCTTCCAGTTTCCAACCCCATAGGCACAGGCCCCACACACAGGTATGCACACACCCCTATTGATCGTGGAGGGTCTTCATAATGGAAGGGGTCCTAGTGGAGTAATAGCAGTCATGAGCAACATGAGTTGTAGGAGAATGGCTATAGAAGTTGGAAGACAAATGAGGTAGGAGACAAGGTGGGGGGAAATGAGAGAATGGGATGGGAAGAAGCCAGAGGACTTAGCTTGGGGTACTTAACTAAGGAGGAAACTTTCTGATTTTTTGATGATTGGGAAGTTGGTGGAGTCAGAGAAGCAAATATCCATAGGCTGAAGGAAGAAAGAGGCAGGACCCTAGGCAAACATATCTGGGATGTTGAGAGGGTAAGAACTAGAATGGAGAGAGGCAGGGACATAGGTGGGAGCCAAAGATAGAAGGGTAGTGAGTGGCAAGGTATAGCTCCTGGACCTCAGGCAGGAGATGGGGAGGAGAGGGTAGGGTTGGGGAAGAGAGGAGGGGAAAGTGGAGAGGAGAGGGGATGGGAGACGGAGGAATCTCAAAGTGGGGCTTGGCTTGCTCAGAGATCTCTTCTAAAGGCTTCCTGAGCCACTGTGAGAACTAGCTCCCTGGGCAGTGTTTTAAAAAGGCTGAGAGGCTGGGTGACTCGGGAGGAGAGGCGGGGTATGGAGATGGCAGTGCCCCCACCCCCACTTAAGCCTTATTTAAGGCTGGCCTCGGTGTTTGGTTGGGTAATGAACTAGATAAACAATTCCCCAAATAGATTAAAACGAAGTGTAACTTACAAAGGCGGCTGGTGATGATGGTTTATTCCCGGGCAGTGCACCATTTCTTTATTTCCAAGGATAATTCAGTGTAAATCACCTTAATTAAAAGTGTCAGCCCAGCCCATGAATATTGTACTTAGGAACGTGTTTCCTGGGTCCCAGTTATAATTTAAAACCCATGGATCACTAGGCAGCGAGTGACTGAGCAAGGGAGGAAATTGTTGGGGGCGGGCTGTGGAAACAAGGAGGGATGGAAGGCAGAGCTGATGGGCTGGGCAGGAGCCAGACTGCCCATAGCTCTAGAGCTCAGACCTCTCTTCTGCAAAGCAGACCACTCACCAAGCTCTTCAGTCTCTAGAGGATCAGCACACTTGGAAGTGGTACGGTTGTTGGAGGAAAGGGTGAGAGGGAGCCCTTGCTCAGAGAAAGGAAAGGAGTTTCAGATAGAAGCAGCTTCATGCAAGGAAAAGGAAGAATATTGCTAGAAGAAAAAAATAGAAGGATATGCTTGCAAAAGCAGATGCTGCATATCCTGACCTTGAATGGAATCATTATGTCCACCTGCAAAGTAAGATGGAGCCCAGTGACAGCAAGACACTCCCCTAAGTTGCACAGCAATCAAGAAAGAAAAAGAATGTTCGCTTCGGCAACACATATACTAAAACTGGAATGATACAGAGAAGATTAGCATGGCCCCTGTGCAAGGATGACACGCAAATTCGTGAAGCGTTCCATACTTTTTAATTTGTGGAGGGGAAGGGAAAAAACAAATCGTTTAAGTAGGGATACAGGTGGACCCATTGCAACAATGAGATGTACAAGTCGTTATGTCAAAAACGAGCTTTACAACTTTGGTGTGGGGAGGAGGAGGATTGGTAGGGGGATGAGGGGGGGGAGAATAGGAAAGGATGGGAAGGGGAAACAAAGGAGGAGGCTACAATGCTTGATAAGAAATGTACTCATTACCTTGCCCACGTAATTGTAACTCCTCTGTACAGTATTTTCACAATTAAAAAAAAGAAAGAAAGAAAAAGAACTCAAGAGTTCTGCCCTAGAGCCTAAGCCTTGGGTATCTTTAGGTCCAGGCATGGAAAATTAAAAATCAGCAATTTGAGCCAGGCGCTGATGGCTCACACCTGTAATCTGAGGCGGATGGTTCAAAGCCAGACTAGGCAGGAAAGTCTGTGAGACTCTTATCTACAAAAACTATACAGAACAATCACTGGTTATGAGTCACTTGTGACTGATTCATGTTAGTCCATTCTGTTGTTCTGCTGAGTGAGTTATAATAAAACATCAGTGTGGATGATGTGAAAAAAGAAAAAAAAACTAATCAGAAAAAGCTGTAAGTCATGCTGTGTGGCTCAAGTGGTAGAGCACTAGCCTTGAGCACAAAGAGACTCAGGGACAGTTCCCAGACCCTGAGTTCAAACCCGGGAACTGGAAAAAAAAAAAATCAGCAACTTGGGCTTGGTTAGATACAAACTCAAAGTCCAACCCCTTCCTGTACTGTGAGAAAATTATCAACTTTATTAGGCAACTCTGCAAAGTTTTGGTGAAGAGTCAGTGAGTTAACATGTATAAAGTCTGGGTCTGTCATCTACAATAGATGCACAATAACTATTCTTCTCTCTTCTTACCTAATTCCGAATCTAGACAATACTCATCTCAGTCCAAAGCAAGGTGTAGCAAGAATAGTTTGTACAAGCAGATGCTCACTTTGTAGGCAGAGTAGTAGTCAATACTGATAAAAATCAGAAACTCACCAACTAGCTGTTCCTCAAGAGCTGCTGTTTCTTCCCTGTATCCCCAATGCCTAGATTGGGTGAGGGTGCGAGGCAGGGCCTGAGTACAGACCATTATTTTTATTTATTTATTGTTTTGCCAGTCCAGGGGCTTAAACTCTAGGCCTGAGTGTCATCACTGAGCTGGGTCCACTTGAACTACAGCTCTATTTCCAGCTTTTTGTTTTAGTTTTAGTGGAAATAAAGAGTCTCACAGACTTTTCTGCCTGGGCTGGCTTCAAAACACAATCCTCAGACCTCAGCTTCTTGAGTAGCTAGGATTACAGGAATGAGCCACTAGCACCCAGCAGCATGGACCATTTATAAACAGATGTAATAGAACAGAATCTTTTCTGGCTTTCTTTCCCAACTGGTGATGTCTCAATTGTGTGATCAGACTGGTGAATAGCTCTTTACACTCAGATCTTGGCCTTACCCTGCTTCAGTCATGCTGGTGGCCTCTGCTCTGTGATGTAGGTGTGTAGGGATATCTACAAGTGTCTACATCTGTGTGGACATGTGTGTCTGGGTGGGTATCGGTGGCTGTAGGTGTCCACATCTGTGCATGTGTTTATGTGGACTGTGTGCATGAGCAGCGATTCAGCCAGCCTGTGTGGCAGTTGTGAATTTGTCTTTATGGTCATGTCTCTGGGAATATGACCCTGTAGCCCTGTGCATCTGTATGCATGTCTGCATCTCCCAGGGTGACTGCATGTATTTGTGTGCCTGTTGGCAGAATTATAGTCTGTGGATATGTGTGTGTCGGCCTTTAGACCAATGCTTTCCAACCTCAGCTCTATTGACATTTTGGGTTAGATAATTTTGTGTTGTGAGGGACTATCTGGGACACTACAGAATATTTCACATCCTCTACCCACCAGAAGCTCAGGATATAGCTCAGTGGTAGAGCACTTGCCTAACCTCTCTCCCCCCATTGAGACCCACTGGATCTGTCTATGCTTTTGCTTGCACATAAGGTGTGTCTATGTCTGAGTCTATGGTTGCCTGAGCACTTCTACGGATGTATGTTCTTTATAATGCACTTTGTAAGTCCATACATGTCCCCTGTGTTCTGCTTTGGATGCGTGCCTGTATCTTTTGTGCTTTTTTTAAATCTGTGGGTATGCTCCACATGTGCACCTCCTCTGTGTCTATGCAGGGACCCTTTGAAAATGGATTGCATCTGCCTTCATGCACGTATCAGCCAGCCCCTCTATATGCATGTATTTGTGTGTGCATGTGTGCATGCACGTGCACAAAAGTGTGAGCACAGATGTGGTCGAGTATAGTGGGGGCAGCAGGCAGGGAGGAATAGGAACAGGGATATTAATGTTTCTGAAGTGGATCTGATTTGATACGTCTTGTTCCATTGTCAGCATCTGTTTAGCGGGGATTTGTAATACTTTGTGGCTCTGGATCACTCATGCTTAGCGCAGGATGTGGCCTTGCATACCAATTTTGTTATTAAACACAGTTCTTGCCTCCCCCACAGCCCATCCATCACCTCTAGCCCTAGCCCCTGCCTACTCTGCGCTGTCCACCATATTTCAGGGCCCAGCTTCCACCCGCCTGCCGCACCCGATGCCGGAGGGCCTGGGGCTGACAAATTGAATAAGGGGGAGATCATTCCTGGTCTAACACAGTTTACAGCATGTTGGAGGGAGAATTGACAAGAGTCATGTCAGCTCCATCACCTCAATCCCATAGGAACTAAAAGCAGGCTGGGGTCAGAGGGGAGAAGGGGGCCTCGAGAACTGGCAGAATATTCAGGAGTCAGATAAAACCCTATTCCCAAGATCCACTGGGCAGTCTACCATGCCTGGTATCTATGTCAGCTCCCAGTCACCAGTGTGGTTCTTGGCTAGGCTGTGCTAGGCTTGGACTCATGGTTGAATGGCCTGGGTAGAGCCTGGCTAAGCTGGCTGGGCTAGACTTGCTGTACCTTCTCTTTGGGGGGTCTTATTGCTACTCTATCCTTACAACTTAGGCAGTAGGTAGAATGGTCACCCTGTTCTCTTCTTTCTTGGCAGCAAGAATTCCCTTCTGAAGGATGCCATGGCTCCAGGCACCCCCAAGGTAGGTGGCCAATTATGGTTTTCCTCCTGTGCATCCTAATCTAGGCCTACTCAGAAAGAACGGAGCTCTTTGAGGACTCTGGACTATCTCCAGGGCTAGAACATCAGCCTGAAGGCTGGAGCTTCTGTGTCTGTGAGTGCATTATATTTGTGAGGAGGAAATGCTCCTGACTTTCTCTTTTTCAGCTAGGAAAGGGATTCAAATCAAGAGAAGCCTGAGGGTGAGCAACACAGACACTAAGGTTGGGAAGTTCAAAGGAGGAAGATAAAGAACACAGAAATACAGGTCAACATAGATAGTACAAGAACTTAAAAGCCAGATCATAGAGAGAGAGAGAGAGAGAGAGAGTGTGTGTGTGTGTGTGTGTACAGACACAAGGAAACAATGGATGCTGGGTCCATATGGAGAGGCAATCTGCCCACTCTGGACAGACACTATGGAAGAAAAACTTGAAAGTGTCAGATGGGGGGAAAGGGGTGAATGCCAAGTACCTGGCTCCAAAGAGGGACCAAAGGAGCCCTAACACAACAACATTAATTTATAGCAAGAAGTCCTCATAAATGTCCAGAGACAGATCTGGAGAAGAAGGCTAAACCCTCACTTACTAAGCCTTTTCTGCGCTCTTTCCAATAGTTCCCACAATAATCCCTTAGCACAAGTTATGGGGAGAATTGACAGGAGTCATGTCAGCTCCATCACCCCAATCCCATAGAAACTAAAAGCAAGTTATGGGTGTTGAAGCTTGGGTGGAGTGGATAAATTCAGTGAGGGAGAATCCATGAGGAGATGAGAATGAGAATAAACATCAAAGAGAATCTCAGGAATTTCTGTACTTCTAGTAAGATAAAGTGGGGGGGGGCAGGAAGGAAATAGAGGAGGGACAGTGAATAAGTTAGGAAGTCACAGAAGAGCAAGGTATCCCAGGATCCTAAGGAAAAATGTCTGTCTGAAAAAATACGGGCAGTCGGCGGTCCAACAGGGAAAGGGTAGCAAGTAGGGCCTATTATATGGAAAGCTTAAAGTCTGATGACCTCAGAAAGCAGTTTTGGAAAAGGAGCCAGTGAGGCAGATATTACTTTTATTTACATTTTTTATTTTCTTTTTGTCAGTCATGGGGCTTGAACTTACGACCTAGGTTCATTCCCTGAGTGTTTTTTTTTTTCCATTCAATCTAGTGCTCTACCACTCTGAGCCACAGCACCCCTAATTTTCTGGTGGTTAATTGGAAATGAGTCTCATGGACTTTCCTGCCTGGACTGACTTTGAACAGTGATCCTCAGATCTCAGCCTCCTGAGTAGCTAGGATTACAGGCATGAGCCAACAGCACTTGGCTTCAGATATTACATTTTTTTTTTTTTTGTCAGTCGTGGGGCCTGAACTCTGGGCCTGGACGCTGTCCCTCAGCACTTCAGCTCAAGGCTAGCGCTCTACCACTTGAACCACAGAACCACTTCCAGCTTTTTCTGCTCATGTGGTGCTGAGGAATCGAACCCCGAGTCTCATGCATGCAAAGCAAGCAACTCTACCACTGAGCCACCTTCCCAGCCCCAGATATTATTTTTAAAAGGTTGGTCCAACTACTCTGTAGCCTTTTAAAAGAGTGGAAGTAAGAGATCTGAGGAAAGCAGCCTGGACAGGAAAGCTCTGCCTAAAATGTGAGCTTTTCAGCTGGGCACCAGTAGCTCACACCTATAATCCTAGCTACTCAGGAGGCTGAGATTTGAGGATCAAGGTTCAAAGCCAGCCTAGGCAGAAAAGTCCATGAGACTCTTATTTCCAACTAACCACCAGAAAATTGAAAGTGGCACTGTGGCTCAAGTAGTAGAGTTCTTGCCTTGAGCTGAAGAGCTGAGGAACAGTGCACAGGCCCAGAGTTCAAGCCCCACCATTGCCAGAAAAAGAAAAAAAGTGAGCTTTTCCAAAAAGCTCAAAAAGTGGAGCTGTGACTCAAGCAATAGCTTTGAACAAATAAGTTCAGGGACAGCACCCAGACCTTGAGTTTAAGCCCCAGGACACACACACACACACACACACACACACAAACACACACACACACACACACACACACACGACTTTGCATCTTCATTCAGGAAGCTGCTCAGCTTTGGCTAGCTGGAAGAAAAGGAATAAAGAACCTGCCCCAGGATTATCACACACACACACACACACACACACACACACACACACACACACACACACACACGACTTTGCATCTTCATTCAGGAAGCTGCTCAGCTTTGGCTAGCTGGAAGAAAAGGAATAAAGAACCTGCCCCAGGATTGGATTGACACAGTTGGCCAAAGAGGCAAGGACCTCTTAGCCCCAAAGAGAAAATATAGAGGGGTTCCCCCTACCTAGTTAGGCAGCTCTGGACTGGTAGAGGTAGGGAGCCACTGTGGTCAAGTTTGGCCTGGCCTGTAGCACCTAATAGTATGGTTAGGGAAGGTCATGACCACTTTCAGGTTGGACACTACAACCCAGTGACATTTGACACCCAAGCATGGCTGGCAGAGCTGAGAATTAGGACACAGAAGCCTGTGGTCTCTAAACAAACTTTGAGAGACACCATTTCTGTCCTCATGAACCTGGACCCACATGTCTGAATGCACATGCAGGAAGCCTTTTAAACTTAAAACACATTCCTTCGTTCCACAGACATAGGCATATGGATCATCAGATGCAGGGACCAAGAGACAAATTGCTTCACACACACACACACAAACACACACACACACACATGCTTATACCCCCAAATATGAACACCCACAAAGCTGAAGAGCTCCTGGTCTATCCTTGGCCTTGACCTCAGCTCTAGAGAAGCAAGTCATAAGGAGAGGCCTGAAGTAGAAGGTTGAAGCAAGAGACTGAGAGGACAGAAAGGAGGGAGGGAGGGTAGGAGGGAGGAGAAGGAGGAGAGGGTGAGGGGGCCTTAGACAAGATTGATGGCCTCGTTGCCATTAAGAAAAAAATTAGCCGGTGGCGGCTATCATATTAAAGGGTGAAGAAGCCGTGAATTATTTTCTTAAAGATCTTATCGCTTACAATGATAATTTTACCTTCCAAAAGGCCACTTTTAATGAGGCGAAGAGCCAGGCAAAAAGTCATGATTTAATGCCAGGATTTTTTTTTTTCAAAACACATTTTACTGCTTTTTGGTCCATGTTTAAAAAGCGCCAGTGACCTTTTTTTATTCCGCTTGCCCCAGGTGTAATGCTGAGGCCTCTCAGGGCTTCTAACCTAGAGAGAATGAGATAGAGAAAGAGAGACCACAGTAGAGGTTTTCTCATGGTTGGGGGTGGGGGGGGGACTACATTGTTCCCCTTCCTTAGCATCTTCCTTGAGACCAGAGAAGTACATTGCCTGACAGTATCTCTTTCTGGGCTGGGGCTGAGTCACTCACCAGCTAGCTGGGTAAAGAACAAGCTCCTGGTTACACCACCCCAGGCCCTTTGCAACCTCCTCTCTCCTCCAGCTACTGGATTATGGACAAGTCAAGGAAGGGAGGTGCCTCTTCCCTTCAGATGTGCAACATGGCCACAGAATGCAGGTCACATCCTAAGGCTCAGTCGGAGATGAAGGATAAATGGCTGCTCCATCTTTTCCAAATTGCTTTCTTTGGGCTGTCACTGGCGATTTGGCATGGTTTTCTAGGCTGGGGCAGACTCTGAGGGAATTGTGTGCTTCCGGCTCAGAGCTGGAGAAGGTGGGGGGAGGAAGTATGGATTGCTTTCAGGCCTCTGGGCCACCCCCCTATTTGCAGCTGAACAGGCCTTGGCAAGAGCTGGCTCTCAGGCTGAACGTGCCATGTGGTATTTAGAATTGTGGTGCTTGCACACAATTTAAAGCAGACAGTTTATTAATCTAAACTGCAGGCATATGTAGAAGAGGCCATGTGGGATTGACATGGGGGGATTAGTTTTGCTGGGGTTTTTGCTGGGGTCATCGCCACAGCACAGGGATAAATGGACCCAGCATACCTCCCTAGCTGCACGCAGGAAACTCATACATACTATTTAATTTACTGTCTCCATAGTAGGGCAGCCATCAGCCTGCATTAGGGGCAAGCAGGGTGACAGGTATGCAGCTTTACCCCCAACCCTTCAAAGGGATCCCAGAATATCTGCTCTCTAAGGGAGAACAAAGTATGTGTGGTTCAGCCTACTTAGAGTCCTTACCCACTGGGCAGATTAGCCAGAGCAGTGATGGAAGAGGTTTGGACCTTCTATAGGGGTCTACACCTTGTCCCCTTCCACAACCACACTCCCAAACCTGACCACATGCCTTTAAAAATCTCCAGAGTAGCCTTGTTTTCTGCTATCCTTTCTGCCTCACTACTAAAAGCTCCATAGGATTGGGAACTCCAGGGAACTGCTGTAGGTCTCACTCAGCCTGAGCCACATGTCCTTTTCTTCTTCCAGTCCCTCCTATTGTCTGCTTCCATCAAGAGGGAAGGAGAGTCTCCAACAGCATCACCACACTCATCTGCCACTGATGACCTGCACCACTCAGACAGATACCAGGTGAGGAGGTGTGACAGTTAGGTCACCTGGGAGAGAGCTTCAAGGCCATCCATGGTGTTAACTCCTCCCACCTTGGGAGACCAGAGGCCTGAACTATGTTTGGAACCTCTGTGTCTAGTGCCCCAAGTGAACTCAGAAGGCCCAGGTGTCAGGGAAAGGGCCTTATTAAAAAGATGGATTTGAAGGTAAGATGCCAAGGTTCTTTAGGCTCTGAGCACCTCTGAAGCATCCTCTCTATTAAGAAGTATCATTTGGGATTTTGTTTCATGAGAGACCCAGAAACAGCCTTGTATCGCTGAAGATTTCAAACTTCAAATCTGGATCCCTTGAATATTAACCCTGCAGACCTGCCAATCCATGGTATCAGGACAGAAAGAGAAACAGGCAGACACTGTGGGTATCTTAGGCAAACAGGGAATAATCACATTACTAATGATTAGAGCAGGAAGAAACCTTAAAAGTAACAGCATAGCTATAGATGGGCTTTCTTTGAAGTAGGAAGAAAAGAGAATGTTCCCCCAGAAGCCTTGGTTTGAGTAGAAGAGCACTGCCTTTGGGAATTCCCATCTGATGGAAGAAAACAAGGTCCTGCTCCAAGAAACATGTGTCTAAATGGCAACAGAGATTCTAGAGAGCCAAATGTAAAAGGGGGAAAGGCAGCCCTGATCTGATGTGGAAAGGCAGAACAGCAGGGGACTGGTAAGCTAGGTAAAGACCCATGGTCCCTGCTGGCACACAGGAGGTCTTGGATGGAACTAGACAAAGGTGTGCTCTTAGGCACTCTTTCCTCCCAGCTGATACAACCTGGCATCAGGGTACAGAGCCTGGAGATTGGAATGCCAAGTTTGGGCTGGACCTCAGCCTCTGCTGGCACCTTTTGTGATGAATGATTTTGTGTAGAACCCAAACTGCACAGCCCAAAGTGCCAGTACTAAGGAGGGAACCCTGCTCACTGACTGTTTGGGGTTTCTTTGTACTGATCCTGGGGCTTGAACCACAGCCCAAGCCCTGTCCGTGAACTTTTTTGCTCAAGGCTAGCACTCTACCACTTGAGCCACAGCTCCACTTTCTTTTCTTTTTTTTTTTTTTGGGGGGGGGGTCCAGTCATGGGGCCTGACCTCTGGGCCTGGGCACTGTCCCTCAGCTCTTCAGCTCAAGGCTAGCGCTCTACCACTTGAGCCACAGCGCCACTTCTGGCTTTTTTCTTTTTGCTTATGTGGTGCTGAGGAATCAAACCCAGGGCCTCATGCATACAAGGCAAGCGCTCTACCACTGGGCCACCTTCCCAGCCCCACAGCTCCACTTTCATTGGAAATAAGAGTCTCATGGACTTTCCTGAGCTGGCTTGGAACCATGATCCTCAGATCTCAGCCTCCTGAATAACACCCAGCTCATGAACTGTATTTATCTTTTTTTTTTTTTGGTACTGAGGATTAAACCAGGATGTTGCATTTGCTAGGCAAGCACTTTGCTATTAAGCTACATACCAGCCCTCATGAACTCTGTGTCAACTCCTGGGATACATTGCCCTGGTCCAGACAACATGGTTCAAAGTGCAGAAAAGACCCAACTCTAGAAATTCTGGTCTGAGAAGGAGACAAGGCTATATCCTGAAGAGTTCCAGTTCAAAGAATAGGCAGAGGCATGCTTCAGGGCCCCATACTCCCTCCTCACTCACAGCACGAACCTAAGTACCTACCTGCTGAACCATAAAGAAGAACCAACAGGCAGAAAAGCCTCAACTCCCAAACTTCCATTCCTATCCTCTAGTATTCTCTACAGAGTATGAGGAAAGCCTTTGCCTAGAAAGGTACACATAAGACCACACACACACACACACACACACACACACACACACACATGGGCACCCACATCCATATGTAGTGCTTTACATACAATTCAATATGGGAAGAGAGGAAACCCCTAAAGCCAATCCAGGTGTCCTTCAAAAGTTTCTAGCACCAGATTATGACCCAAATTATAGGCTCTAAAGTATACTTTTTAAATAACAGATTCTATAATAACTTCTAAATAACTTCCTCTAGCATAAAATTTACTCCTTTGCATAACCCAGGCTTTCAGCCATTTAGATTTAGTATTTCCAACTTCCCTTACTGATAACTGCCTTCCAAGAATGCAAAGGCCTCTGTTCTCTGCATGAATGTTCCCCCTCCTCCTCCTAGAAGGAGATCCTTCCAATGTGGTGGCTTAATTATCATTACAGAAGCTACTTCTTTAAAGAAACTATACTCTTTAAAGGATATTATTTCATTCTGATCCATCAACTTTTTTGTTGTTGTTGTTGGTCCTGGGGCTTGAACTCGGTTTGGGCGCCAACCCTCAGCTCTTCAGCTCAAGGCAAGGGCTCTAACCACTAGAGCCACAGTGCCACTTCTGGTTTTCTGGAGGTTTACTGGAGATAAGAGTCTCACAGACTTTCGTGCCTGGTCTGGCTTTGAACCGTGATCCTCAGATCTCAGCCTCCTGAGTAGCTAGGATTACAAGCATGAGCACTGGTGCCCAGCTTATCAACTTATTTTTTATTTATCCTTCAACATTCTGCCCAAATGCCATCTCTTCCAAAAAGCCTTTCTGGATTAGCTATCGCTTTTTATGACCTTTTTGAGACCCTGTTATGTCCTACCACTCATCTTATTGTGACCATATTGTGACCACTCTGGTATGTTTCTGTTACCTATTATTGGATAGCAAACTATCCCAAAATTTGTTGGCTTAACACGAGTTAACATTTCTTGGGATTCTCTGAGTTCACTAGGCATTCCTTCATTTATGCAGCTGGGCTAGAAAGTCCGAAATGGAGTTTGGAAGTACCCTAGTTCTCTCAGCTTCTTTACTTAGCTGTCACTGGGTAGTGCCCCAATAAGGTAATGAAAGACAAAGCTGCAAGACTTCTTGAGGCTAGAATCTGAAATTCACGTCCATGATTTCTACCACTTTCTATTAAGCAAAGCAAGAGCAAAAAGTTAGCTTTTAATCAAGGGATGAGGAAATGCAGCTCTTGAGAAGCTGAAAAGAATTGTGGCCAATTTAATCTATCACAATGAATCTGACTCTTCTCTAGACTTGGAGTTCCTCCAAGGCAAAGACCTTGTCTTATCCTTCCTTTACTCAAAGGTTTATCTAGTACTACTCATGCTCAGTCCAAAGTCCTTGCCTTCAAGGGGTTAGATTTGCAAATAGATCATTATGGCCCAGTGTTTTAAGTGCTATGAGAAAGGTATAAATAAGTTTCTAAAAGCAGCATGGAAGGTGGAAAACCAGAACGAGCATCACAGAGGAGATACTGACTGCACAAGGAAGAAATGAATCTCAGATAAAGGCACTTGGCATAATGCTGTAGCATGGAATGATGTATTGAGGGACCTGTTAACAGCTCTGCTGGGATGGAGAATGCTCACTGATGTTAGAAGGGAAACTAGTGGGAAAGGAAGATGGAAAGTAACCCAGGAACTAATTGGGTATCACCTGCTCTTTACACAATATGTAATTAGGTATGTGTATGTTTTTTTTGTTTTGTTTTGCTTTTCATTTTTTAGTGCCAGCCCTGAGGCTTGAACTGAAGGTCTAGGCACTGTCCCTGATCTGTGCTCAAGGCTAGTGCTCAACATCAGCTCCACTTCCAGCTTTTTTGGTAGTCTCATGGACCATCTTTCCCAGGCTGGCTTTGAACCCCAATCCTCAGATCTCAGCCTCCTGAGTGGCTAAGATTACAGACCTGAGCCACTAGTGCTGGACTTTTTTTTTTTTTTAAATCATTTAACCAGGTCTTTAAAGCAGAGGGTAATGGTTTCTGTTTTGAATCCTAGCCCATGCTGAGAATCTTTAAGAGGTTGTAGAATCTTTAAGAGGTAGTGGAATCTTTAAGAGGTAGTAGGTAAGGTATGGTCATTGGGGCATGCCCTCAAAAGGAAATTTTCAAGACTCCAGTCTCTTCCTTTTTCTTTGGCTTTCCCAACATGAGGTGAACAGGTTTTCTTTACCAGGTGCTCCTGCCATGCTATGTTGCACAGGCAAAGAGCAACAGGGCCAACTAATTAGGCTATAACCTCTAAAACTGTGAGCCAAATAAACCTTTTCTCCTAATAGGTTGATTGCTTATTTGTTATGATAATGGAAAACTGAGTAACACGTAACAATCTAGGATTCAGGGTACTCAAACTCTAGTTCAAATTTTGACTCAATTCTCATAATTTAGGTTAGAGAAGTCACTTCCCTTTTCGATGCCTGTTTTCTTAGCAATGAATATGAAGCCATGCATCCTTGACTAGGCCTTAAAAGCAGAGGGTATTGGTTTCTGGTTTGAATTCTCACTGAGAATAAAGGAGGACCCAAAAGGGTACATCAGACTAGATTTCAGATGGGCCTTTTGGAGACATTCTAGATCCAAACTAGAGCAATCCTCCAGCTCTGCACTGGGGTCAGGGCTTCTGTCATGGTGTCCTTGCCTCACTGCTCCCCACTTTATACTGATATGCTGGGTGATGAAATAGATATGATTCTCAATATAATGGGCAAATATAGTCAAAATATATGTCATCAGAGAAAAGCCAAAGAACTGTGAAAACTCAAGAGGAAGCAACACACTAAGCATTGGGATGAAAGACACAAAGGCTTGCCCAGAGTGTTTTAAGGATGGACAAGTTAAACAAACAAAGAATACTGGGGGTAGGGAAGAGCATCTAGCCCAGAGTACAGAACATGGGGTGCTCAAGAAGCTCAGCAAAGCTAAGTGTTAGGAGTTCAAGGAAAGTTAGACATGGTAGAAGAGACTGGATATGCAGCCAGGGCAGGCCCTTATCCCATGTTACAGACCTTTTAGGTGGAAAAAAAAAATCACTGAACAGTTTAAACAAGGGGAAACAATTTTGTACAAAAATGTGGAGGATAGGTTGCAAGGAGAGAAACTGAAGAGTAACAGAGGAGCTTAGAGACAACTGCAAAGTGAGAACGCTAATGAGATTAAAACCAGAGCATTAACAATGAAGGTAGGTAGGCGTAGCCACTGAAATAACACTGAAAGATGTCTTTATCAATGCCAGGACCATGCTAGGTTCTGGGTTTATCTAAATGATTTGCACACGAGTGGTCAGCCTACCAATAAAAAAAAACTATGCAAGCTATGAGGGTAGATGTAGACGTACACCATTTTTTCCAGTAGGCCTAAAAGGTTGAGTAGGAGATGTAGAAGAGATGGATATGAGAAAAATTAAGGTATCTTTAAAGGTAGATTCCCCAGCTTTAGAGAGTTGAGTGTGAAGGATGAATGCAAGGGAGGGGGTCAAGGGCAACTTCTGAGTAGACGATGGCACCCCGCTATGAACTGGGAACCCAGAAGGAAGGCACCTGTTTGGGGAATGTTGAAGTCGGTGTTGGCTGTAATGGGTATGCAATGCCTGTGAGAGGTCCAAAGGTGTCCGGCAGACAGAAATGTTGGGAATCCTCTGAACAGGGCCGCGATGGGCTGAGGGCCGAGTCGGCGACGGTGGGGTGGCCAGAGGATGACTGGGAATTCCGACTCCTGGTGCCCTAGCAAAGCGCGGCCCCGCGGAGCCACAGCTACCGGACGACCGCGCGGGAAGCCGAGGCCCCTCCAGGCCCGGCCGGAAGGAGTCCCGCAGAGGGAGGAGCGTGGGGCGGGGGCAAGGTCCCCGCAGCCGCTAAGGCCGGGGCGGGTAGAGTTTAGGGGCGGTAGGAGGGACCCCGGGGACAGCCCCAGCCAGTTGGCTGGAGTGCAATACGCGGCTTCCTGGTCCCAGTCCGGCCAACCCCCAACCCTTGGTGAACTTTCACCCCCAGCGCGCGACGGCGGCGGATCACGTGACCAAGGCCAACATGGCCGCCGCCGCTGCTGGGAGCTGAGGTGCCGCCACCGCCGGGCAGCCGGGGGGAATCCGCCCGCATCGCCGCCCTCGCCGGCCGGGCGGCCGCGGGATCCAGAGAGCTGGAGGCCGGGGCTGGGGCGGCACCGCGCGGCGGCCACGGGGTCCTAGTAAAGCAGTCCCGGCGGCTATGCCGAGGGCCCGGAGCGGCCGGCGGAGCAGGGGCACCGGCGGGAGGGAGGAAGTAGGTTTGTTTACGGGCTGTTTGGGGCGGGGCGCGCTTGGGTAGGGGTCGGGTGTTGGGGCAGGGGACCAGGACTCCAGGCCGCACCTGACGCTCTTTTCCCCCTCTTTTCTTTTTTTCCCCCTTTTGCATCTGCCGGGGATTTTTCTCCCAGACCTTCCTGCGAGTGCGAGCCAACCGGCAGACCCGGCTGAATGGTGAGTCTGGTCCGGCCCCTCCCTCCGCCCCACCCCCGGCCTCCTCTCCTACTGCCCGCAGTCCTTGCCTTGCCTCGGTCTTCTCTACTGGGGCCCACAGGTTCCTTTGCAGTCACCGCATCTGAGTATGTGCAAACCAAGGCCTCAGTTTCCCCGTCTGTCTAATGGAGGTTATGGTTCCCAGTTCTTGCTGAAAGCCTCTCTAAAGGCCCTGAAGAACCCTGGGGGGCAATAAGTGTCGGAGAATGAGGAACAAGCCACACAATTCCAATCGGGAGCTCAGCTTTGAATTTGCTAACTGCTGGGACCTCACTATACAAGCCGGCGGGGCGCTGAGAATGTTTTTCTTCTAGTTTTTAATCAGTGCCCAGTAGTGTGAATACAGCCTCTCTGCTGCGACTTGACAATGCAGTGAGATCTGGAGTTCCCACGGCAACAGGAACTAACTCATCCGAGGGCTCTTTGAGTTATCAGTCGGCCCACATTTCACAAAGGTGATCAGCGTGTGCTCGACAGCTCTTAGAGGCCTTCTCTGAAAGCAGCCCATATATGCACTACCTGGCGGCCCCCTTCTGGATTCAACCCTCTGGAGCATTCCTGTTTGCTGAACACAATTGAATGGTCCTCGCTTTTTGTGCTGGTGTGGTTATATGGGGGTTGATTTTAAGGGGCTTAGGGTCTCTGGGCCAGCTGGTAAGTGAATGAGACGTTGTAGTTCAAGATCCCATGTCTATTTGGTTGCCTCTACCAGGCTCAGCCCCAGCCTGGAAAAAGGGAGAGCTGGCACTATGTTAAGCACCACTCTATCACACCTCTAAGAGAAAATGTTACTCACGTTTTGCAAATAAGGAAACCGTTGGATCTGAGAGGTGAAAGTTACTTGTTTAAAATCACACAGCTGGTATGTAGCTAAGTCATAATTGAACTGAAATTTGTTTACTTCCCAAACTTGTGCTTCTCCAAATGTTGCCATATACCTCCTTGGCAAATGCTTTGTTTTTTTCCAACTTCTAGGTAGCCTTCAATAGAGAACAAAACTTCTTGCCAAACTGCTTAGTTCAGGACTTAGAAGAAGAATGGAAAGGGGTAGGGGACTTGAGACTGTCCAGATGAAACACAACCCATCAGGTGGTTTTCTGGGCCTAGCTTCTGGTGGCCTAGGTGTCCTGGACAAAGAACATCCAGAAGTCCCAAGGTTCTTTTTCTTTTTTAAAAAAATTCAATCATTGATTCTTTATTGATACATTGTTATCAGCCTCTTTTACCCAGGAATGCACTCAAACTCTAGGCAGGTGAGGATCCTTTGTGTTGACACACTACACCATACTAGGTTTCTAGAACTATCAGTGCCCTTGAATTTCTGATGTCTTGTACCCGTACTTTATCCCAGATCTGGCTCTGGAGTGTCAAGGCTGCCTGAACCTGGGATTCCAAGGGTTAGATCAGCCTTACAAGGGGCCCCACAACATAGTCACATTTCTGTAGTGGAAAACGCAGGCAATTGGAGAGATAATCTGGGCTACAGATCAACATTTCTCAAATTCTATACTCAGTTCTGGTAGCTTTCCCTTCTGTTCCAGTCTTTGTAGGGCTACTGCTCTGGAGCTGGAAAAGCTCCCTGCCTCAGACGTGTAACCAGCAGAAACTTGCAGTCCTAGTACCTACAATGGGATGTCTTGCTCATACTACTCAATTGAAGGAAGGACCCTGCGTATAGGATAGCATTGTATTCAGTGGAATCAGGCCTGGTTCCAATCTTGCCTTTGCCACTTGTTAACTACTTGGACAAGTTCCTTGATAGCTTTAAGCTTTGGGTTTCTTTTTCTGTTAAAATGTAGAAATGCAATTTTAGCTTCAGGATATAGACTTAAGTCAGATTCCAGTGTAAAGTACCAAGCTCTGAGCCTAAAATACAGTAGAACCTCTAAATTGTAATATCAGCTGTCACCTCGTTCCTCTCTGATGCATTCATGAAGTTCCAATCAAGGTCAACATCCATAAGAAAGTTATTCGTGGCCCTTCAGTAGGGAATGTTTACCTTCTTGGCAGACTCCCATTCTCTCCATCAGTGTGGTCTCAGAGTGGCCATCTTTGATCCTGCTATTGCATCTTGGGAGGGGTAGAAGGAAGAGTCCCTTGTTTTGACCCCTTCCTGCTTCACTGACAGGAAAGCTGCAGAGAAGGATTAGTGAGCTAATTAGAAATGATTGCATCTCTCAGCATTAATTAGCAGTGCTGAGGGCTTGCAGTGTGCACTTTGGAACTGAACCTCCTGCAGGACAGCATGGCAGGCAGTCCTCTGCCTCTGGGGCCAGCCAAGCCCCTCCACACTGATTAGAAATGATAGGACAGGTTTGGGTTTGCATAATAAGGCCCACCCTGTCCAGGTACCCTGGACCTTCTGACCCAGGTCTGACTCAGACCCTCTGTAACTTTATGACTAAGCCTCAGTCCCCTTTTGTATATAGTGGAACATGTGCACATCAGAGAAATTCCTCTTGGGATGATCTTAGGTGGGATGTTAGGGACCATACATCAGGGCTTTTGGCCCTAGACCCAAAGTAGTTTTAACTGATAAGTAAACAGCTGACCAAATCCAACCCCTAGAAGAATCTTGGGTCTCGATCTGGGTAGATAACAGCAATATGAAGTGTCCCTTGCCTGTTGGACTCATGAGTACTGCAGGTATGGACAAATAGGTTGAGCTTGAGCCAGCTGTGATCAAAGAGCCACATAATGTCCATACTCCCTGGCCCAGCACCAGTTTCTTCCCAGATGTTCTGGGCAATGCCCAGTCACCAAAGGAGTAAGAGACACTGTAAAATGAGGACCATGTCAGGCACTTAATATAAGGACTAATGGCTGGCAGCAGGTCAGGGTGTGTTAGCTCCACTGGGACTGAGCCACAAAGCTACAGTGACTAGAGTCTGCTTATTTTGTGCTTTGTTTTCCATTTGTCTATGCAGCTCGGATTGGGAAAATGAAACGGAGGAAGCAAGATGAAGGGCAGGTATGTCCCCTGTGCAACCGCCCCCTGGCAGGATCGGAGCAGGAGATGAGTAGGCATGTGGAGCATTGCCTTTCTAAGGTAGAGGGGCTATTGCCGCCACCTTCCTCCTCCCACCTTCCCCTGACACTAGCTGCTGACTGCTCCTAAATCTGTGGGCTCTTGGGGTCTCCACGTGCTCTCAGCTGCTTCTTTCCCTGCACTTTTTGCCCTTATCCTTTGCTTTTACTCTCATTCACTCCCTCCTTGGGCCCATATGGAAAATTATTGGGAAGGGGCACAGCTCTTTATCCTCTAGGTTGGTTTTACTTCAAAGATCCCGAGAGCCAGGGGCCCAGCTGGCATACTACAGCAGGGACTAGGGCTGTGCTTTCCTTGCAGGCTCTAGGGAGCAAGTAGGGATGGTCGGGCCCTGCATGATTCTACTCTACTCTTTACAGAGGGAAGGCTCCTGTATGGCTGAGGATGATGCTGTGGACATTGAGCATGAAAACAACAACCGCTTTGAGGAGTATGAGTGGTGTGGGCAGAAGCGGATACGAGCCACTACACTCCTGGAAGGTGGCTTCAGAGGTACTAGCAGCTGATACATAGGCAGTGGCACCCTGGTGGCCAGGCTTTTGGTGGTATCTCTATCCAGTGGAAGCCACAAGGCCATAGCTAGTGACTGGTCATCTGTTGTACCACATGGGAACTGCTAGTGGTGGGACGCCTTTGTGACCGTGCTGCCTGCCTGTGGTGTGCATATTAAAATGGATGTATTTGGGTGGGGAAATGGAATTGTGAGGCTGCAAGCTAGGAGTGACGAGGGGGGCTCTCAGCCTCGGGTGATGCATTGAAGGTGACAGCCAAGCCGCGTTAGCACCTGCATAAAATATTAAAGGGACGGTTATGCATTTATCACTCCATCCCTCTTAAGGCTGATAAATGAGAATCCAGCAACCTGCTGTACACCTCCAGCATTGGGGGCCCTGAGGGCTTCCAGGCAAACACATTGGATTTTCCTCCTCCTCCTCCTCCTTAGTCCTATGTCAGGGAAATCAGTTACAAAGGAGAGAGTGAGTTATGGCAAAATTTGACCTCCCATGAGCTTCATTGGTGAATCTAATTTTAGCTCTGATCCCATCCTTTCTCCCTGGGCGCCCTCTGCCCTGAAGCAAGAGGGGCTTGGGCCCAGCTGCTCCCTGTTCCCTGGATTCTCCCCAATTGCTATACAGGAGTTTTCGCATGGCCCCGCCCATCTCCCGGGCTCTCCCAGCTCCTTGGTGGGACATGGTTGCCCCCTCCTGATCAGACAGCAGAATTAGTTGAGTGAGTGCACAGGGTCAGTGTTCTGTCACACTCCCCTTGCCATGGCAGGGGAAAGGAGTATCTGTTTGCCTCCTGGCCCTCTAGCCCTTTCCTATTTCTGTCTACATACACAGCTGGCACTGCAGCTTGGGGTCATTAAGGGAGCCAGCCTGCTTCCCATCTGCCTCCTGTTTGCTGGTAACACCCTTGGGAGTACCACTGTATATGGTCCCTGGGGAATCACACAGCAGCTGCTAAGGGGGATCTTGCTTCCTTGGGGCCATACCACCTGGGCCACGGAAATAAGGACTGGTCTCTGCAGTGCCAGACTAGGTGAAGGGGCTAAGAGTTCAGATGGGACCTTATACCTTTAGGCTTCTCTCAGATGTCCCATGGGTCAGATGACAAGCCAAAACCTAAGTCAGAAAAGTTAAACAATTTCCTTGAACCTGAGCTGGACAGTGTTAGTAGTTGCCATTGCATTGTTTTCATGCATGTGCTGGAAGTTCTAGCATATCTTAGGCCTTGAATGAACAGAGCCCGTCCCGCACAGGTGTGTGGTGACAGTCTCAGCAGGTCAGTTCCAGAATGCTGCTCTGCCTGGCTTTGTTGGCAGCTGCAACTATTCATGTCTTCCATTGCTGTGGCAACTTAATAAGTTTTCCTGGCATAGAACCGAACCTGATGGCTTCTGGGCACCTGACTGGATTTGGGGAGGGACAGGCTGCGCAGAACCTGCTGATTTGGCTAAGTCTTTCCCCAGTGCTGGGATGGGCTGACAGAGCCACGTGAGGGACTCTTAGGCCCTGGGCCGGTATCAGTTTTCCCTGAGTGTTTACACTGTGAGGTTGTTTCTTTCAAGAATTCCTGAGGAGAGTTCAAAGGGGCTTTTCTTTGAACGATTTGGAGAGCGGAATGAGAGTGAGACTTGAAGAGGGAACAAGGCTGGAGGTGCCTTTATCTGCAGAGAATTGCTGCAGCTTTCCTGATAGAAGCTGCTGCCGCCTCTTAAACAGCTTAGTGCAGTCAAAAGACAGGCTGACTTGAAAGGCTGTTTTACAGCGAGATCAGCGGGGGCCACGAAGCAGAGAGCGGGCTCAGTGGAGCGGAGGAGGCTGAGCCTCCTCAGTGGGGGGGGGCTATCAAAGGGAGGTCCTGGCTGATGCTGACTGCCTCTGCCCCCAAAACCGTGCCTGCAAAAGCTGACCATCTGTCAACCTACCCTTCCTGGCCAGGACCACTAGGCCCCAACTCTTGGGGGGGTTGGGTGTGGCCCTGCCAGGAGGGCTGGTGTCAGTGCAGCGCATTGATCGCCCACCGGGCGGGCCAGGCCGCAAGCCGGGCAGCGCGTGCTTAATGTGATTGAAAGGCAGTTAAAATGGCGGTGACCTTTTCAGGAGGAATTAGATTGCCTGCCAAGACCGGTTAGAGGGAGTGATAACGCCAGCTGAAGAAGCTGCCCAGCCGACTTCAGAGAAAGGAAGGCAGAGGCAGGATGAGCAGGCGAGCAGCAAGGCCCATTTAAGCCTTCTGTGTGTGCTGACAGAACAGAGATTGCTGTCCTTGTTAGATATGAAAGAATTGAAGAATTGCAGATAAGTTCCTCTATCCGATCATCACCTGTTCCTCCTCCCAAACTAGGACTCCTTCGTCATCCTCAGCAATGCTTTCCACCTGGCCCCCAGAAGCTGGTCTGATGGGTCAGATCTGTTGCCTTGAATGTAATCTACTGTGGGAGGCAGTGGATAAGTAAGCGTTTTGATGGAGACACTTGGCAAGGGAATCGGCCTTTGGGATGGGGACCTGTGGTTACTGAGTGGGAAGCCCAGCTATCTTGGAACTGGGAGTGCTTTAAATTGGTATTTTAGGGCAAAATAAAGGACCAAAAAACAGGAAAATTTCAATAGGTCCCAGTTAAAAAAGATATTTTCTTCCAATCCTGGGGCTTGAACTCAGGGCCTGGGCACTGCCCCTGAACTTTGTTGCTCAAGGCTAGCACTACCACTTGAGCCACAGCTCTACTTCTGGCTTTTTGGTGGCTAATTGAAGATAAGGGTCTCATGTTTTCTGCCCTGGTTGGCTGGATTCAAACCTTGATCCTCAGATCTCAAACTCCTAAATAGCTAAGATTACAGGTGTGAGCCGCTGGTGCCTGGCTAGATTTTTTTTTTTTTTTTTGTCGGTTGTGGGACCTGAACTCGGCCTGGGTGCTGTCCCTCAGCTCTTCATCTCAAGGCTAGCACTCTACCACTTGAGCCACAGCACCACTTCTGGCTTTTTTCTTCTTATGTGGTACTGAGGAATTGAACCCAGGGCCTCATGCATACAAGGCAAGCACTCTACCACTGAGCCAACTTCCCAGCCCTAGATTTTTTTTTTTAAGAGCCAAGAAAACAGATAAAGGTTTCAAGAATATAAGTTGTAAGAGATTTTTGTGTTGAGGAAACATGCTAACTTTGTTGGTACTAGGCAAGATCCTCAAGCTATAAGCTGTAGCAGCCAATTGTCCACTCAAAACTTGAGATTTCTTAATTAACTGCTAGTACTGTTTGCATAGCAGCAGCACACAGAGCTTGATACTCCACTCAAAAGAGATCAGCACTTAGAAATAGATGTTCCTCTGGGGTACTCTGCCAAACCTGCGCAGAGCAGGGGTCTATCCAGGCTACAGAACTGGGCACCAAAAAGCACTTATGATGAACCTGCCCATACGTAGTCAGAGAAGATACGTGACTATTGAGGGATGGCATGCTTCATCTCTCATTCCCTACTTCTAGCTGTTCCTAGTTTCTGCACAAGGCCTTCCTTGTATTGATTACCAATGAGAGTTTACCTGGCTTCGTTTGGAGTCCCCCCCCCCAAAAAAAAAAAACAGCTCATCATGTGAAAGGGATATAGAACATGGGAAGGATTAGTTTCAAATAAGTGACAGGAAGCTACAATGCAAGTGGCAAGTATCTGCAGCTGTCTTTGAGCCCTAGAGGGATGCATTGCTGGAATCTAGCATGAAGCCCTATGAAACAAACAGGTAAAATAGGAAGAGAACAGATACTGAGACATTTAGTTGTGAAGGTTTCTGCCCTGCCAGATCCCGGTCTGACTGTATCTTTCTTAAGTTCCTGTCCTAGCTTTATGCTAGTTCTAAGTAGCCTGGAGTAAAGAGTCATGGAGAGAATAAGAGGACAGTTTTGTCACAGCTCTTTTGAAGCTTATCATAAACTTTAGCACCAAATTATGGGGCAAAAAGCTAAGAGGTGTTGTGAGGCCAGAAATAATAGGCCTTGGCCAAGCTGCTCCTTTAGCATGCCATTTCCCAAAAGCTAGACGCCCCAAGTGTTTAAATGATACTGGGCGCAGCTCTGCTCTGTGGTCCTGTCAGTATAGGTGTGGAACAAGACATGGCAGGGGGTAGCCTTGGAATGGAGAGGTTGACTGTCTTAACTCTCTACCACTTTTAGTTATGATTGTTACCTGGTGGGAGGGGTGAAAAGAGATGGCAAGGAGCTAGACCTCTTCTGTCCCCTGTGGCAATAGACAGGATTTAATCGCCTTTTGGAACACAATTGTTAAGCTGGGACAGACTGAGTGCAGGCAGAAGAAGCAAGTATCAATGGTTTTAAACGGCGTCTGTCTCTGTGCGTCTCTCCTGACGTGAGGCAGTGAAACACGTTATCGAGGAGGCCCGGAAAGTGGCTAAGTGCGTTTGACACACGCCAACTCCCTGCCTCCACACTGGATAATTGCATTGTCAACTGTTCAGCGAGGTGGCAGGTGACACTGCAGGCCGATTGATTGTCCCGCATCGCAGCTCCCCAGACTGTCAGCTCCCCAATCGATGGCGTTTACACAAGACACCGTAACTGCATCTGTAACTAATTCCAGTGTAAAACTCCCCGGAAGCTGCTGCCCCTGCCCTCCCTGTTGGTGAGCATTGGGCTCTGGATGGCCTCAAGACTTTCTCCCTGGGCTCTGGTTTGGTTGGAAGCAGCAGGTGAAGAAATCGATGGCTCCTTTTTTGTGGTTTCAGGTTCTAGGACATTACTACCCCCAGTAAACCAGCTTCTCCAGTTTCTCAATCAATCATGTGATCAATTGATTAAATTAACAGTGATCTTTTTTTTCCCCTTCTCAATGACCCAGGAAGAAATGAGTTTATTGGAGAAGGGTAATTTTCATAAAATTCAGACTTACATATCATTTCTGAACTTCACCCTCTCCCATTGTGTTACCAAGTATTTACTAGAAGGAAAGGGGTTTTCTGCATGTTCAGGATTGGACAACTGACTTGGCTGGGCAGAATTGACCTTCAGATTTGGTTTGCCTGCAAGAGCCCAGCCTTTTATGTCACTTTCCTCTGGGGCAGAACCATAGTAAGAGGCCACCTTTGTGACTTAGGGATGCTCTGGCGCATCTTGGAGGTCCATGGAACTGAGTTCTTCCCAGGACAGCAGCAGCAGGAGTGGCAGCTTGCCTGTTACTCCCAGAGCTACATGGAAGAGGAGCCAGAGACTTGGAAAGGAGCTATCTGTGCCATCTTGCCTCTGAGTACTGGCTTGGGATATTCCAGCAGCTGAGAACATAAAATGACTGTGGAGCCTTCCTCGAAACGAGGGGGAGGGAGGTGGGGGCAAGCTGGCAGAGGCTCTGTCTGCATAAAATGGCTTTATGGCCGTTTCTTTTTATTATGATTCTGCCAGAAGTCAGCAAGTGACATTTCATTAAGAAAATAAAGTTTAATGTGCTGGGAAGGAGGTTGGAGCAGGCTGGGGCAAGCACCAGAGTGAAATTGGTGGTGGCAGCCTGATGCGAACACCTGTGGGGGTAGGGAGAGGTTCCCAACATGTGTCTTAGCTGGGGGATGGGTCAGGGTCAAAGGAGACTGCTCAGGCCAGAGGCAGAGAGGCCTTTTCCCTGGCATACAAGATTTGTCATGCTTGCTCTCTCATCTCCCTTGTCAGAGGAACAGAAGGTGGCTGTCCAGTTGGGAGCTGGAGCATAGTAGGGAAGGCTGTATCCTGACAGGTTTCTGCAAGCCAATAGCCTACCAGTCCTGGCCTCTCTTATGGTATGGGGTTCCCAGGCCCTCACTGAGAAATGTTTCCAGTATTTAGCCAGTATTATTGGGATGTGTAGTAAGGCAACTGCTGTGGGTCTGGCCAGCTCTACTGGATCATGCTAAGAACAGCAATGAGGCAAGCTTGAGATCCTTCCAGCTTTCTAGCTGGTGAGAGATAATACAGTTAGGTACATGTAATTTTGGAGTTACATAAGAAATTGGGTAGAGCTGGGTGCTAGTGGCTCATGGCTATAGTCCTAGCTACTCAGGCTGAGATCTTGATATTGCAATTCAGTGGTAGCCCAAGCAGAAAAGTCTGTGAGGTTCTTACCTCCAATTAACCAGCAAAAAGCAGGAAGTGCCCAGGCCCTGGGTTCAAGCCCCAGTACCAGCAACAAAAAGAAAAAAGTTTGGGTGACACCAAGGAAGAAACACGTACATCCACCACACAGAACCTGAAAGTCTGTTCTCAATACAAAAAGATTGAAAGAGGTGAGAAGTCATTCCTTCCGCAAGGATTTATATAGCAGCTACTCGGCATAGGCGCTGCAAGTTAATGGTAGTATCATAAGTTGAGTCAGACCTACCAAGTAAGCATTTGTTGTATAGACAAGCGGGAGGTGGTTCACCAGTATGGGTGAGGATATGGGATATGGGATAGAGAGGATATGGGATATAGGAGACAAAATAGTTAGGTCCCACTGGAGTATGAGTCCTGGTGTAAATGAGCATGCAGTGAGACTGCAGAGAAGAGGGCAGGCAGGGTTTGAGGCCATTGGCTGCTTTGGCTGTCATTTACTCTGCTTTGTCAAGGGAATCATACTGGGCTCAGGAATGTTGCCATGATTGTCTGCTTCCTTTTTGCTCAACCTACTGGGTAGGGCAGGCAGTTGAACAGAGGCTGGCTCTTGAGCTGTGAGTAGTTGAGAAAGGATAGATGGCAGGGCTTGGAGGGTGCAGGCTGTAAGTGAACCTGATAGCTACATTCTGATTGATGGCAGAGTTTGTCTCCCAAACTGTCAGAGGGTTTATAGAGGTGCCACTCACCCACAAGGTAGGAATTGCTTGTCAGGACACCTGGCTGTGAACAGGAGACAGAGCTGTAAACTTGGTGTTTTCTCAGCTTAATGGCCCTGCTGCTGACCTGCCTGCTGCCTCAAGTGTATTGGGGCCTCTGGGTAGAGGGTAAATGAGGACTGTCAGGGAGGGAGCTTAGGCAGCATTCATTCCATTTCCTATCCTTGTTGCTTTTGTCTGGGATGGGTGGATTCAAGACCAGAGAGTGGAGGGATAAAAGAGATGAAGATACTTTTTCAGCCCTTGAAAGATGAACATCCCAGATGGTGTGAATAGCATGGACAAAGGTCTCAAGCAAGGTGTGTCTGAGGCACAGTGAGCAGTCTCCATGTCCATATGCATAGGCCTCTGGACTGAAGTAAGAAGAGAGAGGGTATAGAGTAACAGATACATGGACCTCACCAAGGAGTCTATAGAATTGGCTGTGCATACAGTGGGGGTGTCTTAGGGGTTTGGGAATAGGAAAAAGAAGGGTCAGAAATATATGGTAAGCAGAATGAAGCAGTAAGACAAGAGACTTTCTAGACTTACCCTAATTGGTGTATAAGGACCCAAGAGTACTAAGAATGGACAAGACAATACTTGAGAGCATTGGGCAGAGCCATACACTTCTTCCAGGCTTCCTTAAGGGTTTCTTTGCTGATCGTGGTAGTGGGGCTGCTGTACTATGAATGAGATGATGGGTAAGCAGGACACCCACTGGGAAAAAGCAGAGGTTAGGGGCAGCTCTATAGTACCTGACCATGGACTAAAAAAACAGTTTTGAGGCCAGGAAGGTGGCTCAGTGGTAGAGTGCTTGCCTAGCATGCACGAGGCCCTGGGTTTGATTCCTCAGCACCACATAAGCAGAAAAAAACGGGAAGTGCGCTGTGGTTCAAGTGGTAGAGTGCTAGCGTTGAGCTGAAGAACTGAGGGATAGCACCCAGGCCCAGAGTTCAAGCCCCACAACCTACCCCCCCCCCAAAAAAAAAAAAAACTCCTGGGTGTCAGAGATTACTTGGCAGGTGAGCTACCCTGGGGTAGCCTCAGTAGTATACCCCTCCCTATTTAGCCAAGAGTCAGCCTAGTAACTATGCAAATGTTCCTAAGGGAAAGCAGACCTATTTGGCCTTTGGCCTGCCTGGCCAGCCTGGTTGCTTTCATGGACTGCTTTGAGAAGCAGGTGTGCATGCCTATCCTCCCTTTTCTCTTTCTCCCTAATCCCTTTATAACTACACTTGTCCAGGAATCTGGGCCGCACGAGGCGGAGATGAATAATTAATGTCAGGCGCTTCAGACACCAAATATTTGAACAGCTGCCTGGTATTTTTGCTGGCAAGGACCTGGCGGCCAAAATCAGAATGCTGGCTGGGGGTCCCACTCCATGGCTCTGATTGGTCTGACCAGCCTGTTCTCTTTGACTGACTTATCAGACTGGACAGTGGGACATCAGGAGACCCAGGTCTGGTAGGGGTGACCTCTTATGGACCTGAGTTTGTCTGCCTGCTCTTCATGGAGCTGGAAGACAAGTGCATAGGCATGGTGTCTTCTCAGGACTTAGCATTGTGTTAAAACATAGACTTCCTAAAGTAGCATGTAGTGACCAAAAGGAACAGTTACACAGAAAGAAGAGATTGCAATGTCAGAGTCTGAGGCACTCAAGTATTTGCTTTTATATATCCAAAGCCCAAGTTTTTATCTGGGCCTTATTTGGCCCTAAGGTAGCAGAAGGAGCAAGCTTGGTCTACTATTTTTGCTCCCTGGCCCTTCTCATACCCTGCTTCCCACAGGCTCTGGCTTCGTCATGTGCAGCGGCAAAGAGAACCCAGACAGTGATGCTGACTTGGATGTGGATGGGGATGACACACTGGAGTATGGGAAGCCACAGTATCCTTGGGCACTGTGGGACAAGGTGGGGCTGGTGGGGTAGGCCAATGAGAACAAGAAGTAGATAGCACCTCTGGCACTGACCCCCTGGGCCAGTCTCAGCTTTGACCAAGGGAGGATTCAGCCCTTGTGGCTATACTGTACAAAACCTAGGATCCATTGTCCTTGACCACCATGTCAGATACACGGAGGCTGATGTCATCCCCTGTACAGGCGAGGAACCTGGTGAAGCCAAGGAGAGAGAGGCACTCCGGGGTGCAGTCTTAAAGCAAGTGTGGGCACAGGCATGGGTGGATGGGATTAGAGGGATAAGTAAGCCCAGATGTGGGTCTCAGTCCAGGAACCACCATCAGGGCTGTCCTGTCTGGCTTTGGCCCTCACATGTTCTTTCTCCTTCTGTAGTGGTGGGCCTCCGAGCACCCGCATCACACCGGAGTTCTCCAAGTGGGCCAGTGACGGTAAGTCCAACCTAAGTCCGAAGTGGGGGAGACGGGGCATCCCTAGATGATAGTGACTGGCTCAAACCCAAGCCCTCACCTGTGTACCCCATCTGTCCCCACAGAGATGCCGTCCACCAGCAATGGGGAAAGCAGCAAGCAGGAGGCTATGCAGAAGACCTGTAAGAACAGCGACATTGAGAAGTGAGTGTGGCAGGGGGCACTTTACTAGCAGGAAGGCCTGTTGCCAGGCCTTCTGGCCTTCGGAGTGCAGCTCAGTCCTGTTGCTCTGGGCACACAGCCGTCAGTGGAGCCCAGCTGGTGCTAAGCATACTCTGTGAATTGATCACTGGGCCACAGCCCTGGGAGCCTTGGTGGAGGGAGGAGCAGTCAGTCTGCCTGCCTGCCTGCCTGCCTGCCTGCCTGCCTGCCTGCCTGCCTGCCTGCCTGCCTGCCCGCTGAGGCGGCCTCTGCCCGGGGAATGTGATGTATGGCTGCCCGGCCCAGCCGGTGCACTTGATTCATCTCCAGTTTCTGTTTCTTAATCGGGAGCTAAATTGGTTTCATTTTTCTTGTCCCGGGTGGCATTCGCAATGGGTTTTAGGCAGGAGTGTTGGGTCTTATTACTTCTGCAAGGAATTTTTGGTTAGGGTTCTGTGGCAGAGTAAGAGGGGACCCATTAGTATTTTATCCAGGATTGGGGAGCCCCTAGCCTGCACCTATAGGAGTTACAGGGTTTGCTACCAGCTAGACATCCTATTGCTTTTTCAGAAGTGCAGACAAGGCCAGTTCTGGTCCTAAGAAGAGGCACTGTCCGTCTAGGCTGCCTGGAGCCGTTTCCATTGGCCTTTGCTTAGCTCCCTGTACCTACCCACTCCCTCCAGCTGGAGGCTAGGGTGTCTGGGGGCAAAAGGCAGCCTCTTCATTCTAGGACCAGTGTTCCATCTTGCCTCCTGCCAGGAGAGTGGATTGCAGGCCAGTGCAGGGCTGGGTCGGTGGCCCAGGGTCACCTCCCATTTGTTTCCCTCCATTTTGTGTTGTCATAAATTCATTCCAGCCCGTTGTGGTTGATCAGTTTATCTCGGCCGGGGCCGCGAGTGCTGCTGGCATGATGTATGGGCCGAGGCGCAGGGCCCGGCTGCCCATGAATCACCGCAGCTGCTCCGTGTCAGCGCCAGAGCGGGCCGTACGAGTTCGGTGCAACCAGCTTGGGAGGGGGGGGGAGATGACGTATGGATGTTTATTTAATAATTCTCTCCTACTCCAGCTGAGAGGGGCGGGCGGGGCTGTAAGGGGCGCCCACCCTCGTCTGGAGGGGCTGCTCATAAATCAGAAAGACAAGATCATTAATCAGGGATGGCGCCGAGAGGGAGGTGGGGGCCAGATCCAGTGACCATCCATGTAGGTACTACCCTCCTAACGCTGGGAAAAGTCACCATTCTGTCCCACCTGTGTGAGCACTGGCTCCAGTGAGTGGTGCTATCTGGGATACGTTGAGGACTGACTGACTCCTGCACACAGAGATCTCTGTTTAGTCTGGATCTGCCAAGATGGGGAGCCTTCGGTCCCCAGGACTTCTATCTTCTTCGTCCATGGAATGTGGGTTTCTGCCCTAAGTTCATTTCAAATCCCAGGGAAGGGGAAGGCAGGATGATGGGATTTCCTCCAGGAGTCTGGCCACCCTGTGCCATGGAGAGTTTCAGAAGTAGCTCACAAATAAGCTGGGTCCAGAGGCTGGAAGTTGGGCATTTCACCAAGGCCAGAGTTGGTACGTGATGAACATTTCAGAATAGGTGGGCTAAGGAACTGTGTCTTGGCCCCTCGTGCAATCTTGGAATTCCTGGAAATGGAGCAGACTTTCATTTCCCCTTCACAACATGGTCTTTAGAGGATGAAAGCATAGATCCCCATCCTTGTTGAGTATTTACCAACATTCCAGATGGGAATGGTACATATGGACTGAGCAAAATGCCAGTGAAGGGACCAGATGCAGGTGCTTGTGAGGAAGAGGAGGATCAAGAGGCTTCCCAGAGCTAGAAGACTGGGAACTCCAGGGAATCTCAGTACTATAAGGAATTAGAAACAGAGTCCTTCTCAGCATCCCTAAAGAAACAATGCAAAGAGAATTATAGACCCGTGGGGTGGTGGATCTAGAGTACTTCCAAGGGTGTAGCCATTGGGGCATCACATATGTTGCTTCTGACCGCCTAAAAGAAAAAGCCAGAGAGAGGTTGTTGTGGCACATTAAATGTTACTACTACAGCTAGGTGTGGTACACGCTTATAATCCCAGCACTCTAGAAATTTAGGAAAAATATTTCAGTTCATATAGAGTAGTTCAAGACCAACCTGGACTACATATACATAGTAAGACCCTGTCTCAAATTTTTTAAATAAGAAACAGATGTTACCATTGCCCTTCTCATATTCCTCTTGACTACTTTGCATCCAGTGACAACCTTTCTGACCTGATTGTGTCCCTTAAGCTGACCGAAAGCACTATTGCCCTAATTACTATCTGTGCCATGTGGCCTCCAGACCCAATACAACCGACTCTGTGCTTCCTTATTGAATGTATCTTCAAACCTTAGCTATTCTATCACACCCTTCTTCCAACACCTTGACTACTTCCCATTGCCCTTGAGATTAACTTCAATTTAACATTTAAAGCACGTCAGGCAAGTCTTTCTCTCTTTAGCACCATCTGCCTAACTGGGCTTCTTGGGCTTTTGGCCTTTGTTTCTACTGTTCCTTGGCCTGAAGATCCAGCTCACAGCTGGTATGGAGTGGTGGTTAGTTATCAGTTGATCACAGAATAGATCTGCCAGATTGAAATCCCATCTTCCCAAATCTGGGAACATTAGGCAGGCTACTTAATTTTTTTGTGTTTTAGTTTTCTTCATATCTAAAGTGGAAACATTAGGATCTTCTCACAAGTCTGTACGGTATGAATGATATATTATTAATAGCCAGGTAATTGTGGCCTATAATCCTAGCCACTTGGGAGACTGAGTGGAAGAATTGTGATTTCAGGCCAGCACTAGCAGAAAAGTCTACAAGACTCCATCTCAAGGGAAGAAGCTGAATGTGGTGGTATGTACCTGTCATCCTAGCTATGACAGGAAGCCTAGATTAGGTGGATCTCAATCCATGTGTAAACTGGACAGGAAACAAGATCCGTTCTCAGAAATAACCAGTGTAGCTGGGTGCCAGTGGCTCATACCTGTAATCCTAGCTATTCAAGAGGCTGAGAGGATTAAGGTTCAGAGCCAGCCCAATAGAAAAATCCTTGAGATATCCATCTCAAAATAGCCAGTAAAGAGCAGGACTGGAGCCATGGCTCAAGTGGCAGAGTACCAGCTGACCAAGCTAGCCAAGTGAGCACAAGGCCTGGGTTCAAACCCCAGTGCTGTCCAAAAAAAGAAAGAAAATTACCAAACCTTCAGTATAATCCCTGGCATTTAGTAAGTTCTTAATAAGTTCCTGTCATTTTAATTGTTGCATATCATCCCCCAAGTCCCATCCCAGTGTTAACATTTCTGTCCTTCTATGAGGATCCTTGCTGTTCATTTGTTTTAGGAGAGGGATCGTTGGAATTAGCCCAGCTAGTCCCTATTCAGGCACTGCTGCCAATCTTGTAAAAGTTGTAGGGGCCTGTAATATGGGACTTGGACAGGCTAAGGATGCCCATGAGGGCATCACAGGCATAGGAAGAAATGATCAGCCTTTGAGGGAAGTTAGCCCTGTGGCAAAGGTACCTAGTTTATGAGGGATCCAATCAGTCCCCACATCTTTTACCCTTTCCCTAGAGGTTGGACTGGCTTTCCACTCAGCCAGTGTTTACTCATGCTCATGTGCCCAAAATGGAGCTTCCATCCATAATAAATACTGGACCAATGAGCATCTACCCTCAGGCAACTCAGTCTAGCCATTGAGACCCCAACACCTTTGCAGTAGGACTGCTGGGTTGGATAGAGTTCAGGGCCTCCAGTGGTGGTGCTGCCTGCGAGGGTTTCAGGAGGTTTCCTAGAGATGATGGGCGATGAGGCTAATGAGTTGAGAGCATGGGAAGATCTGCAAGGCTGAGGGAGCAGGTAGGGAAGGGTAGTAAGTTTGTGTGGATGAAGCAGAACAGGGTACTGACAGGGTTCTGCAGAGGCTGGGCTGGGCCCAAAAAGTTTATTAACGCTTTTTACTCAGAGAAATCTTGAAGGGTTGGAAGTAAAGATGACAAAATTTTGTTTTCAGAATGCAAATTCTAGTTGCTGGAAGAATCGGCTGGAGATGTGGGGATGAAACAGAAGCTGAGTGGGGTGATTCATAGAAAAAACTATGACTGGGGCTGGGAAGGTGGCTCAGTGGTAGAGTGCTTGCCTTGCAAGCATGAGGCCCTGGGTTTGATTCCTCAGCACCACATAAATACAAAAGGCCGGAAGTGGTGCTGTGGCTCAAGTGGTAGAGCACTAGCCTTGAGCTGAAGAGCTGAGGGACAGTGCCCAGGCCCAGAGTTCAGGCCCCACACCGACCAAAAAAAAAAAGAAAGAAAAACTATGAGGACTGAGTTGGTGGTGGGAAAGGTAGAAAGGAGAGAAATGACAGATTTGGGGAGTCAAGGGTTTTTGGAGTAGGAGTTGAGAATGATTCTCAGATATGTTTTAGAAATTCATCAGGTGCAGATGGAGGAACAGAGTTCTAGGACGTGGTGTTGCTGTACCTCTGGGCCATTGGGGAAGGGGCAGTGGTGATGTCCAGGGGAGGGTTGTATATGCGATTCTGGAATTAGGGAAGTTGAGATTAGGGGTACCACCCTGCTCCCTGCTGTTCCTACTCTACAGAATCACTGAAGATTCAGCTGTAACCACATTTGAGGCCCTGAAGGCTCGAGTCAGGGAGCTTGAACGTCAGCTATCTCGGGGAGACCGATACAAATGCCTCATCTGCATGGTGAGTAGGAGGGAATGGGGGTACTCTTGGTCAGGTCTCAGGGCCCCCTGGGGGGTTAGAGAGGGTCTCTTTGAGGGGTGAGACTTCCTCATGGACCCCTTCTCTGCCCACCTCCTCCCTAGGACTCATACTCGATGCCACTAACGTCGATCCAGTGTTGGCACGTGCACTGCGAGGAGTGCTGGCTGCGGACCCTGGTGAGGCAGCGTGAAGGCTGGGGAGCGGGTGGCTGTTTGGGGCACTGTCCAGATGTCCAATTATGCCTGTGCTTGTGCCTGCTTAGGGGAGGCCAGGGAGAGCAAGAGTGTAGAACCGCCAGTCAGGATATTTGCCCTCCACATTCACTATGTCTGCTCCCTACTCCCACCACAGATTTATTAAACTCTTCCCTCTCAAGGTTCCCAGCACTCTCCCTTCCCCCTGCTCCTACCGCAGAAGGCCTGCTGCATCCCATGTATTGGTGAGACCCCAGATCAGGAGGAGGCTAGTGGTGGGTAAGCAGGACCAGGGCCTCTGCCCCTCCCCCTCCCATTACTAAGCTCCTTCTGCTCCTGCCCCTGGTCTTCGCTCTGGAGCAGCCATTAAAATGTCGCCCGGAGACAGCAATAAAAGGCCCGGACGTGGGCTCTGTGTCCTGATCAAAGGCCGCGTGTAATCTCGTTAGGGCCGCGGCAGCCACAGCTGGACCCAGCCTTGTTCTCATTACCGGGGCTCCTGCTGCGGGGCTGGCCAGGCGGTTTGATCCTGGCGTCCCCCCAACACAGGAGTGTGCCTGCCTGCTCAGAGGCTGCCCGAGCATCCCCAGTCTGGCTGATAGAGGACCAAGGTCCCAGCATAGACATGGTACAGACATGGCTGCAGGCCCAGGTGCTCATATGCACAAGCATATGGCACGTTGTGCCTAACCAGGACCTCCCTCTCCTCCCCCCTCTCCCACCCCGTTGTCCCTGCAGGGTGCCAAGAAGCTCTGTCCACAGTGCAACACGATCACAGCGCCCGGAGACCTGCGGAGGATCTACTTATGAGCTAACCACCCAAGCAGGCCTTGCCTTGAGCAACCCCACCTGCCCCCAGCCTCTGTGACAGTGAACCTCTCCCCTTGTATATACTTGCACACACTTCCCCCTGTACATACATGCACATAAACACGCGCACACACACATACACACATATAGGACTCTGGAGCCAGAGGGGAGCAGTCCTGCCTATTGGCTCCCACCTAGCTTGGGGACCATACCCATTCCAGTCTCTGTTTCTAGGGTGGGCAGGGAGGTGGGGATGGGGCATAGTGGGGCAAGGCTCCTGATCCCCAACCCCCAGACTGACAGATGACAGACAGGCAAACACCAGACTGAAGCACATGTAATATAGACCGTGTATGTTTACAATGTTGTGTATAAATGGGACAACTTTGCCCTTCACCCTTCCCCTTTGGTTGTATGATTTTCTTCTTTTTTTAAGGACCCTAGAAGCAGTACCCCGTTCAGGGCTGGCTGGGGGCTCGGCCCATCCAAGTCTTGGGGTACCTGCCTCTCCCTCTCCTGTGGAGTCCCTTCCCTCTCCCATGTGCTCGGTGTTCAGTGGTGTATATTTCTCTCCCAGACATGGGGTATACGCCCCAAGGGATGTGATCCTCTCCTTAGTCTTAGCTCTTGGGGCTCTTTATAAGGAGTTGATGGTGGGGCAGGAAATGGGACCCGAGCTGAGGCAGAGGCTGAGGTTGGTGCTGGCTGAGGGCACCCAGCTGCCCAGCCTTCTGCTGAGAACCATTCCTGGGAGTAGAGCTACATTCCCAGGAGAAAGTGTCTCCTTGCCCCTCCCATGGGCCCCATGGTGTGATGCTGTGTCTGTATATTCTATACAAAGGTACTTGTCCTTCCCCTTTGTAAACTACATTTGACATGGATTAAACCAATATAAACAGCTGTTGCCTGTGTGTATGTGGGAGAGAAGAGGCTGATGGGAAGGAGGGTGGACTGAGGCAGTTAAGGGGTTAATTCTGGGCAGCTGTGTGAGGAAAGAACTTGGTTATAGGTGTGTGAAGCTATAACAGGGTTGGCCTGCCCAGCCCTAGAGCATTCCAGCAGGGATGGGGGTGGGGACAGGGGACTCTGGGCTCCTGACTATCGATGGGTAGGGGCTCTAGGTTAATTCCTTATCGATGCAGAATCGTCAGCTCATTAATCACAGAAGAGGTCAGAGCTTGGGGTACAGAAGGGATGCAAGCCCTATACCCTAATGTAGGGCAAGAACAGCAACCACCTTGGGCAAACACAAGCCCCAGGTCTCTGTCCCTTTCTAGTCTTCTAGTGTCCAAACAGCCTGGTGTAATCAAGATGGACTATCAAGTCAGGGAACTGCCACTAGGCTGCCAACACTGGAGATGAGGCACTTGGTCATCTCCAGAACTCTCTACAGCCAGGGAGGGGGGTGGGAGGGAGGGTGCCTGGTGCTCAAAACTGCAGGTAAATCTCATGCACAACAGTTTTTGTTTTGTTTTTTGTCGGTCATGGGGCTTGAATTCTGGGCCTGAGCGCTGTCCCTCAGCTCTTCAGCTCAAGGCTAGCACTCTACCACTTGAACTACAGCACCACTTCCAGTTTTCTGGTGGTTTATTGGAGATAAGAGTTTCACAGACTTTTCTGCCTGGGCTGGCCTTGAACTGAGATCCTCAGATCTCAGCCTCCTGAGTAGCTAGGATTATAGGCATGAGCCACCGGTGCCCGGCCAGATTTTTTTTTTTTTTTCAGTACTTGAAGTGGAACCCAAGGCCATGTGTGTGCTACAAGCAAGTGCTCTGCCGCTTCACCTGTACTACAGCTTGTTTTTTTGAGACAGCATCTTGCCCAAGCTATAATTTTTTTTATTTTTAATTTTTTTTTTTTTGCCAGTCCTGGAGCTTGAACTCAGGGTGTAGGCATTGTCCCTGAACTTTTTTTGCTAAAGGCTAGCACTCCACCACTTGAGCCACAGCGCCACTTCCATTTTTTTTCTGTTTATGTGGTACTGAGGAACAGAACCCAGGACTTTAAGCATGCTAGGCACACTGAGCCACATTCCCAGCCCCCCAGGCTGTTGTTTTTTTGATGTTTGTTTTTTTGTTGGTCACGGGGCTTTTCTTTCTTTTTTCTTTTTTTTTTTTTTTGTCAGTCATGGGGTCTGAACTCTGGGCCTGGGCACTGTCCCTCAGCTCTTGAACTCAGGGCTAGCACCCTACCACATAAGCCACAGCACCACTTTTGGCTTTTTCTGCTTATGTGATGCTGAGGAATTTAAACCCAAGGCCTCTTGTATACACGGCATGGCAAGCACTCTACCACTGAGCCACCTTCCCAGCCCAGTCATGGGGCTTAAACTCAGAACCTGGGTGCTGTCCCTGATCTCTTCAGCTCAAGGCTAGCATTCTATCCCTTGTGCCACAGTGCCACTTCCAGTTTTCTGGTGGTTTATTGGAGATGAGAGTCTCACGACTCTCCTGTCCAGGCTGGCTTGGAACCCCAATCCTCAGATCTCAGCCTCCTGAGTAGCTAGGATTACCGGCGTGAGCCGCCAGCGCCCGGCCCCAGGCTGTTCTTAAACCTGATTGCCCTGCCTTCACCTCCTGAGCAACTAGGATTACAGTCCTATCCCACTACACCAGCTAGAAAAATGGACTTCCAGTCTCTCCGATTACTCCAGACTCCTTGACATTCTCAGCCTGGCCCCACCGTCTCATATTCCGAAATCCCCTGTCTTTAGATACCTGTACCTCTTCATGGATCCTAAGGAGGAATATTGCAGAACTGGGTACAGTTGGTAGCTGCTGTTCCAGCAGGAGCATGGAAGACAAGCTATCCTTGGAACCCAGCAAAGGTTCTTCACAGTCCCCATGCTCAGCTTGGTGGTACTAGATATCCTTAACACAGATCCTAGAACATGAGCTCACAGGCAATGTATATGGCCTCTGTTGTGAGGTGGAGCAGTCCCAGTGATGCTGATGGCCTAGGAAAGAAGCAAGTGTACAAGAGGGATAAGAGGTTGAGGACACTGCCTTAAACACTCAGCTTTGGGGAAGCTGACTCCTTTTATGTCTCTTCACCCTTTTCTTTCCCTGCCTTGGACTCAGTAGATCCTTGATGGCTGGTTATCCACTCCCTGGGGGCCATATGCTCTCTAATAGGACACATTAACCCAGAGTGAGGGCATTCCACTGAAGCCTGCACTGCTGGGGGTGGTGGGGGAGGAGGGAATCCTTGAGCTGTCTCATGGCATGGGCAGCACTGCCACCTGTTGGCCATGGTTGGGAATGCAGCCATAGCACAAGCTATAGCAGGACTCCTAGAGGGCTGATGCACTGCATATAGAGCTCAGAGAGTAGCAGAAGATCACTCAGAGTATCAGTGGCCAGCTCCCAATCAAATCTTCCTAACCCTTCCCTTTACTGCCTGCCAAACTTCCAAAGCCAGACATTCAATCAGTATTTGTGTGCCAGCACTGTACAATGGTGACTTTACAGAATGATAGATCATTCAGGACTAAAAGGCTGAAGCCACCTCTTCTGCCTGGAGTGATCCTCCTTCAAGGACATAAAAGTATTACTTCAGCAAAAAAAAAAAAAAAAACCTTAATCTGATCCCAGTTTTCAGGAAATAGGAGTAAACTACTCCTAGCTCCCATATAGCATGGCTGCCTGCCTTCTCCCCATTTTGTCTTTTCCTTACACCCAGCTTGCAACCTAGTCAGATCCAGTGGTACAAAGTATGGTAGTAGTTCCAAAGTGTGGTAGAGTCAGGCAGGTAACAAACCCCTACATCTTCAGCTTCTCCTCTGACATGTACATCAGACTCCTGAACCATGAGAGGACAGTGTTTAATGTGGATCTTTGCCTTTCTGGAACACAGATCTCAACTCTCCCCACTACCCTTAAGTATCTCCCTACAAAACTCACTTTTCACTCAGGAAATCAAAACTCAAGCTGGTGGAGTGACTCAAGTGGAAAAGCACCTGCCCTGAGTTCAAACTCCACTACCATTTAAAAAAATCATAATTCAATGCCAGGCATGGTAGCAAAATCTGTAATCCCAGTACTCAGCAGGTTAAGCCAGGTAATGAAGAGTTTGAGGCCAACTTAGCCTCATAGCAAAAGCTTGTCTCAAATTAAAAAAAAAAAAAAACGGTACCAGTGGCTCATGCTTGTAATCCTAGCTACTCAGGAGGCTGAGACCTGAGAATCATGGTTCAAAGCTGGCCCAGGCAGAAGAGTCCCTATGAGACTCTTATCTCCAATTAACCACTCAAAAACCGGAAGTGGTGTTATAACTCAAGTGGCAGCATGCTAGCCTTGAGCACAGAGAAGCTCAGAAATAGCACACAGGCACTGAGTTCAAGCCCCACAATTGACAACCAAAAAAGAAGGAAAGAAGGAAGGGAGGGAGGGAGGGGAGGAAAAAAGGGAGGGAGGGAAGAAATGAACTCCAGGGCAACAAAAACACAAAATCAAATTCAGTGGGCTTCGGTGGCTCACATCTGTAATCCTAGCTACTCAGGAGGCTGAGATCTGAGGATCACAGTTTGAAGCCAGCTCAAGGCAAGAAAGTCTATGAGACTCTTATCTCTAATTTACCAACAGAAAACTGGAAGTGATGCTGTGGTTCAGAGTGGTAGAGTACTAGCCTTGAGTGAAAAAGCTCAGAGACACCACCCAGGCCCTGAGTTCAAGTCCCACAACCAACCAAAAAAAAATCAAAACTCTAGCAACAAGTAGAAGTTTCACTTACACAAAATGATTGCATTCTAGCTATCTGCTATACAATATTACATTTATGGTTAACAATATATTAACTAAGTATTATATGCTTGGAACTTTTTAAGAGTAGATCCCATATTAAGGGTTCTTATCACAAAACAATAGTAGGGTCCATCCTTAACCTCATCCCCAACTTTATTAATCCTTTACAACCTAAATGCTGCAGGAATCAGCATCTGTTTCATTTGTCAAATCAACTGTAAGGTTCCTACAGAAAGCTGCCTGGCACTCTTGCCCCCTAGGATTCTGGGGCAAGCAGACTGCCACCAGTTCCCCAGGACAGAGGGAGGCTGGAGGGAGGTGTCAGCGTTTATTTCTGGAGCAAGACCTCAGCACTGGACACAGTTGTGCATGAAATCGATGCACAGACTTGTGTAGTAACTAGGGTATTCACGGAGGTGGCTGACATGTGCAGATGACACAAAATCCACAGAGCGCACTCGGACCTGGTGGGCTAGGCGGGCCTCCACCATGCGTTCCACATCCCTGGCCAGGACTACTTCATCAGCCTTTGAGTAGAGGTAGAGCTCAGGCCAGCAGGAACCAGAGTCCTGTAGCCTGTCATAGAAGTGGGTGTGGAAGAGGGAAGTGAGTGGAGCAAGTAGGATGTGGAACAGAACTGCCACTAGGGCAAAGGCCACAAGGAGCAACAGGCGCAATATGGTGGGCCGGTGCTCCAAGATGACTGCCAGGGCCCTCAGGGCCCCTACCAGGTTGCTATCACCAGGACCACTGTCAAAGATGGTGCCCACCACACGTAAGTGGCAGAAGCGCCGATGAGTCTGCAGGAGTTCGAGCACGTAGCGGTACAGCATAACACCAGCATTACTGAAGACATGGAAGAGCAGAGGCTCCCTCTCAATCTCATAATCAAAGAGGAGCTCAAGCAGCTTCTGGGCCAACATGCGCAGTGAAGGGATGCCCAAGGACTCAGAGAAGAAGACCATGTGCCATGGGGCTGTGTATCGGATCACGATGCAGCCCTGGGAGAGGAGAGAGGCTTGGTCAGTCCCCAAGGATGCAGTGGAGGTGAAGGACACAGGGTAAGTCAGAGGGGCCCGACAACCTCAAGATCACAAGACCCAACGAGACCAGCCATGCTCAAGACCCTATTTTGTTCAGAATGCAAGCTCACTATTTACATACATCTTGCAGGGGTTGGAGGTATACTCAAGGCCAGTTAGGATTCAGTGCTTTATGTGGGCCACACCTTCTCAGCCCAAGATGGTCTTTGAGGCCTGGAGTTGAAGACCTGATTTGGAGATATCTGAGCTACCCAGAAGGTAGCCTCTTCACTCTTGTTCCCACCCCACGACCCACACCCCAGACCTCACACATTTAAGGCCTTGTTGCTTGGCTACATCTTGCTGAAAGCTATTCTGCTCTGCATTGTCCCTTCCTACTTCTCATGAGACTGACACCTTGAGAGGAAGCCTGCAGGTCCCAATCTTGACCACCAGAGGCCACTTTTGAGCCAAGTCACATCACCTCCATCTCCGGTCCATGTCACTTTCCTACTTGGGTCCTGAAAGTAGAGCCCGTAACTGCCTGCATTCAGAGAACCTGGTTCCCAGGTCTAAGGTCACTTCTCAAACTCACCCTGAAATTCCAAATACTACCAATACTATTGTTCCTCAAAATTCTGAGTTTGGGCCCAAACTCCCTTTAGACTTTTGTACCTCTCATTGCCTACACCAAGTATATTACAAAACCTCTAAATGAGGTCTCCTAGGCCAGTTAGAAAAGGCAGCCAAAGCCAGCCTACCTGGCCATAGGTTGAGGTAGAAACTAAATGGAAAAAAAAAACTATAAACAAAGTATCTGTCCAGGCATGGCAAGAGCGGTGGGCATAAACTAAATCAAAGGAGCTCAATACACCGACTTCCACAGGGCCCACAAAGCCCAGCTATACTGAAGGCCCTGCTTCAGTCTGGGCACCATGTAATGGTGCCTTCCAGGGGTTGAAGGTATATTCAAATCCAATTTTGGCCTCATTGTTTTATGCTTGCCACACCCCCTCAGTCCAGGATAGTACTTAAAGCCTGAAACTGGGACTGTGCCTGTAATCATAGGATTTGGTAGACTTAAGAGGATCTCAAGTTCAAGGCCAGTCAGACAACATACCAAGGTATCTTAAAAGTGATTAAAACAACACTTAGCACAAAGTAAACTCTCAACCAATAGCAGTAATGAGAAATGATGGTAATAACTAGGAGAGAATTACCTGGGTATGATTCTTGAAACACCCACAGGGATAGACAGCCAGAATCACCAGCTACAGCCCCCTGACTGATAGGGGTCTCTCAAGTTCCACTGCACTCTCCTGGTAGTTATCCCAGTGCAGCCCAGTGTCCTCAGTAAGTCACAAAAAAAGAACTTGGTGGCCAAGAGCTGGTGACTCACACCTGTAATCCTAGCTACTTAGGAGGGTTGATCTAAGGATCACAGTTCAAAGCCAGGCCAGGCAGGAAAGTCAGTGAAACATTTTCCTTCAATTAAACACCAGAAAACTAGAAGTGGAGTTGTGGCTCAAAGTGGTAGTGCACTTACCTTGAGCAAAAATAACTCAGGGACAGTACCCATGCCCTGAGTTCAAGCCCCACAACCAACCAAAACAACAATAACAAAAAAGAACTTTGTGTATGTGTGTGCCAGTACTAGGGCTTGAACTCAGGACCTAAACACTGTCCCTTAACCTTTTTTTTTTTTGGTAGTGGGGCTTGAATTCAGGGCTTGGGCACTGTCCCTCAGCTCTTCAGCTCTCAAGGCAAACCCTCTACCACTTGAGCCACAGTGCCATGTCCAGTTTTCTGGTGGTTTATTGGAGATAAGAGCCTCATGGGCTTTCCTGTCCTGGCTGGCTTTGAACCTCAATCTTCAGATAGCAGCCTCCTGAGTAGCTAGGATTACAGGTGTGAGCCACAGCACCTGGCTAGGAGTGTTTTTTTGTTTTTTTAATCATAAGAAAAAGTGCTGTTCTCGATGTGGTCTTAAAGGAGCAAGAGAATTTGATGGAAGTAGATGCAATGTTGTGACTCTGGACTGGATCCCAGTTTGGCTAGGAAGGGCACTTGGAGTACAATTTGAGCCTCTGGACATAGGCTGGAAACTAAACTCAGTGAAAACTTATTAATATGAGAAGGTGGAGCTCAAGACCTGAACAAAAGCAGGCTAGGGACAGTACACTCACTAAGTCACACAGGCAGAGAGAAGATATGCATAGGAAAAGCCTAGAACAATACACCATGAGGTCATCGTCACCAGGTGATGCTCATTCTGCATCTCATTAACCTAGCATTCTACCTCCTGCCAACCTTCTGGACCCACCACCTTCCTTCCACTGGCACCACAGCCTCATGGCCCTCACCCCTCTATCCTGGGTTACCACAATTGAGGCTGAGATTTGAAGATCTTGGTTCAAAGCCAGCCTAAGGAAGAAAGTCCGTGAGACTCCTATCTCCAATTAACTAGCAAAAGGCTGGAAGTGGAGCTATGGTTCAAGTGGTACAGCACAAGCCTGAAGCCCAAAAGCTCAAAGACAACTCCCAGGACCTGAATTCAAGCCTCAGAACTGGCACCAAAAATAGTAAATAAATAAAAGAAGAAGAAGGCAGGCAAACAGGCCTAGTCAGCACATGGAATTTAGGACTGAACCCCTGGAGAGTAAGGCTTCAGACTCAAACCTATGCATCTCTTCTTATCCTCCTCATTCCCCCCCCACCTCCTCTTACCCCCCATCCCCCCTCCCTGCTGGCTAGTTGTAGACATGGGCCAGTGGAGGCAGGAGAAGGAGGATCAGCTAGCTGTTCTTTCAGATGATGTGTACTCCTCAGCCCAGGACTTCCAGATGGGAGCTAGGCTGTCTGTGTTAACACACCTGCCCTACCCAGCTTTGGGGATATTTGGCCTGAGGGGGGAACCACTCAGGGCTTCCAAAATATAACCAGGCCCTCTAGGGGTGCTCTCTAGTTGCTACAACCTCTACTTCAGACTCTTGGAGCAGCCTGAGAAGCAGGACTGTGCTATAAGAGGCTCCCTGACTGAGAATGTGAAAGGTGCCTGGGGCCACCTGGTGGGAAGGGGAGAGAGTGCTGGGGCCATAACCTATGCCAGCATGCCCAGCCCAGCGGCTGCCTCCCAGAGAGGCAGTTTAGTTTGGACTGGAAGTCTGGGTTGACTCCACAAGCGGGGAGCACAAGGCTGATCACTGGGGGACTTGGGGAGAAAGAAAGGAAGCAAGTCAGAAGACTACAGAGGGTCACATGAGGTCTACACTGGCAGCACAGGGGGGCAGGGTTAATTCTGCCAAAGACCCTGTGACTCTCTCATCTTCCTCGCAGTCAGTCACTCCTGACAGCATTCCTAGGCCTGCCACATCAGTGGGCAGCTTTCACTGAAGCCCAGGTGTGAGACAGCCAGGGACCTAGGGCTGACCACAGAACATTCACAGATAGCAGGTTCCCCCCCCCCCACAAATGGCAGCCCCCACAAGCCACCGACTCTCCATATGCCTGCAGTACTCACCCTTTTGTGGTAGATGGCGCTGTACTTTGCGAGGTTCTTGTCCCTGCAGCCACCCCAGCCTAAGAGAATCACGACAGGCTGTCGAGTTCCTCCCTTCTTCCCATCTTGGCTGGCACTGTCCTCTGAAACACAAATGTGCAGTGTCAACACCGGAGGTAGAATGGGGATTCTGGCCCATCCAGAGCCAATAACACTGTGTCTACAAGCAGGGAACCAACAGGTGCCATTCCCACACTCCAGGCCCCTTACAGGGCTCCTGCCCGGTGGCTCCTATCCAAATGCTTCTCGGCAGATCTGTCTGGAGGCACTGAGACCTCACTGGAAAAACTACAGGAGTACCTTGTACCTATCAGCTGAACCAGGAACACTGCCTCCATTTTGTTTTTCTGTTCAAAGACTGGTGCACTACTCTTTGAACCATGCCTGTTTTTATATAGCCTATGGGTTCATTTTTGTTGTTTTAGTGTCAGGAATTAGAACACAAGGCTTCATACATGCTAAGCAAACACCATACCACTGGGCTACATCCCAAACCCCAGCTTCTACATTGTGAAATGTAGAAAAAAAAATCAATCCAAGCCAGATGAAGAGCTGAGAGACAGCGCCCAGGCCCAGCATTTAAGCCCCACGACAACAAAAAATTAATCAATCAATCAATCCAGATGTGGTGGAACATGCCTATATGAGGCAAGACTGCAAGTTCAAGCCCACCTGAGCCAGGCACCGGTGGCTCATGCCTGTAATCCTAGCTACTCAGGAGGCTGAGATCTGAGGATCAGGGTTCAAAGCCAGACCAGGCAGGAAAATCCGTGAGACTCTTATCTCCAATAAACCACCAGAAAACTGGAAGTGGTGCTGTGGCTAATGTGGTAGAGCACTAGCCTTGAGCTGAAGAACTGAGGGACAGCATCGACGCTCAGAGATCAAGCCCCACAACTGACCAAAAAAAAAAGACCACCTGGACTACATGAGAGACTTGTTTCCAAAAAAATTCAGAAGAGGGGCTGAGAAGGTGGCTCAGTGGTAGAGCGCTTGCCTTGCATGCATGAGGCCCTGGGTTGGATTCCTCAGCACCACAGAAGTAGGAAAAAAAAAAAGCTGGAAGTGGTGCTATGGCTCAAGTGGTAGAGCGCTAGCCTTGAGCTGAAGAGCTAAGGGACAGCACCCAGGCCCAGAATTCAGGCCCCACAACTGGACCCAAAAAAAAAAAATCAGAAGATTGGTGAGACATAAAAACAAAGGTTTTGTTTTGATTTTTATACTGATCCTGGAGCTTGAACTCATGCCCTGGGCATTGTCCCTGAGCTTTTTTGTTCAAGGATTGTACCCTACAACTTAAGCCGTAATGCCACTTCCAGCTTTTTTGGAAGTTATTTGGAGATAAGAATCTCACAGACTTGGTTGCTCATTGACTGGCTTCAATGCATGATCCTCAGATGGTGAGGATCCTGAGTAGCTAGGATTACAGGCATGAGCCACCAGCACCCAACTGAAATTGAAGTTTTTGTGTCCACCAATAAAGTTTTATTGGAGAGGTAAGGGGTGTAACTCCAAGGTAGAGTGCCTGCCTAGCATGAGTGGGGCAGTGGGTTCAATCCCTACCACCACAAAAAGAAAAACAAAAGTAACATTTTATTAGCACATAGCCACACCCTTCCAACTTATCCATTATCTATAACTACTTTCTGACTAACATAACAGAGCTGAGTAGCTACAAAAGAGATCATAGAACTCACACAACCTCAAGTATTATTGGCCCTTTACAGAAAAAGATTGAGCAGACAGAAAAATATAAAAGGAGAACTGGAGTCAGGCACCAGTAGCTCATGCCTATAATCCCAGCTACTCAAGAGGCTGGAATCTGAGGATCACAGTTAGAAGCCAGCCCAATCAGGAAAATCCTGACTAAATCATCTCTGATTAAATACAAAAAAAAAAAAGCAGTAAGTGAAGCTGTGGCTCAAGTGGTAGAGTGCTAGCCTTGAGCATAAAAGCTCAGGGACAACATCCTGCCCTGAGTTCAAGCCCCAGGACTAGCTTGCACGCACGCACGCATGCACGCACGCACATGCACGTGCACGCGCAAACACACACACACACACACGAACTAGGTAAAGTGTAAGCAGAGACATGAAGCCAACTAGCTAACCTGTTCTGCCAGTGAACAACACAACCTATGTTTACCAACCACTTGTGACAACATTGACACGGATGAGGAAACTGAGGCAGTGTGGTTAAGGGACTCGCCTGTGGTCCCATAGAAAGTGCAGAGCTGGGTATCTGGGCCTGCACCCCACTCTTGGCTCCTTGAGCATCTTTAGTGCTGCTGCCCAGGCCGTAGCAGAAAGCACAAGAGGCACATGCCAGCCGCTTCCACAGCAGCGGCTTCTGCAGAAGCCTCCTGGAGTCTTGTCCAATAGACGCCTCTCTCACAGTTCCCCTGTGAAGTGAGTGGAGACATCTGCACAAGGACTGTCTGTAGCTCCACAGCTGCCCTCTCAAAAGACTGCTGTGGACCCTTCCAAGGACCAAGCCACTTGGCTATGCTCCGCTGCCACCCTGCAATTTATGGATGCTGGTGGTGACCTGGCAACAGTAAATTTCAAGGCTAGTTAAGAGGATGGTAAATATAAATCACTAACCTTTGGACAAAAGGAAGACAACAATTTCCTGTGGAAATTAATGTGATTGAAAAGTTCAATGTTCCTGCTCTCTAGTGGCGGGGGGGGGGGGCACTCTGGCCTTCGGAGATTAACTGCCTGCACCCACAGAAGCTGCCAGTGTCTCTGCACAACTCCCAGCCTTCACTGAGGCTCACCTGGGTTCCTGATCTGACTCAGGTGGCTCCAAATATCTCCCCCATTTCTCCCCACCCCCACCTCTGGGCCTCATCTTGTCCTCAGAGAAACCCAGGCCTTAGCGACCTTCTGGATAATAATCAACTGCTACTGTTTGGACCTGGTTGACTCTGAGGTTGAGCTAGTGGATTTCTGACCCCTTCCCTGGTTACCTCTCCCTGCAGCTGCCTGAGAAGGGACTCCCTCTCCCTGATGTGCATTGGTTTTGTTTTTTTTATGCCCATACTAGAACTTGAACTCAAGACCTGGGCTCTGTCCCTTAGCTATTTTGCTCAAGGTAGTGTTCTTCCATTTGAGCCACAGCTCCACTTCTGGCTTTCTGCTGGTTAACTAGAAATAAGATTTCTTTGTGGCTAGGCACTGGTGGCTCACGCCTATAATCCTAGCTACTCAGGAGGCTGAGATCTGAGGATCATGGTTCAAAGCCAGCCTGGGCAGGAAAGTCCATGAGACTCTTATCTCCAATAAACCACTAGAAAACCGGAAGTGGAGCTATGGCTCAAGTGGTAGAGCGCTTGCCTTGAACTGAAGAGCTGAGGGATAGCACCCAAGCCCAGAGTTCAAGCCCCATGACCGACAAAAAAAAAGGGGGGCTGGGAAGATGGCTCAGTGGTAGAGCGCTTGCCTTGCATGCCTGAGGCCCTGGGTTCAATTCCTCAGCACCACATAAGCAAAATGAAAAAAGCTGTAAGTGGCGCTGTGGCTCAAGTGGTAGAGCTCTAGCCTTGAGCTGAAGAGCTGAGGGACAGCGCCCAGAACCAGAGTTCAGGCCCCACAACCAGACCCAAAAAAAAAAAAAAAGACTTCTTTGTTGTTGTTGTTGTTGAATGTCAGTCCTAGGGTTTGAATCAGGGCCTAGGAGCTGTCCCTGAGCTTTTGTGCTCAAGGCCAGTGCTTTACTACTTTGAGCCACAGGACCACTTCCAGATTTTTCTAGTAGTTTATTGGAGATAAAAGTCTCACAGATTTTCCTTCTGAGGCTGGCTTTGAACCAAGATCCTCAGATCTCAGCCGCCTGAGTAGCTAGGATTATAGGTGTGAGCCACCGATGCCCAGCCTGGAAATAAAATTTCTTTGGGACTTTTCTGCCCAGCTAGCTTCAGACTATGGCTTCAGATCTCAGCCTCAGACATAGCTAGGATTACAAGCATGAGCCACCAACGCTTTACTTTCCCTGATGTTCTTAAAGGGAACAACTGGTTCGTCAGCTCTCCAGCCAGGCACTGGAAACTGCTCCTATATTCCAAGGTGTTCCTCCTTACTGGTAGGCATCTCCCCTCCCCTAACACGTGCTCTTCCCGGTGCCTTGGGCTCCCCTTTCTAACTCAGAGCCTTGTCATGACCTCCCTACTAGAACCACACTGCCCCCCCTCTGACTCTATATATGAAGTGCTATTATTACACAAAGCCCATGGTATCTTGGAAACGTGGCCAGGAGAAACTGTGACCATGAAAAGTCTTTCCAAAGGAAAACATGTTTGCTACTGTAGCCTTGAAGGTCCAATCAGAGAGCATGCTAGGTAGACAGAGCATGCGCAGGGCAGGGCGCCATGGAGATGTTATAGATCATCTGGCATGTGGCAAGCACTCCTGCAGAAGGGGTAGAATGTTGGGGATGGGAAGGAACAGTGGGCCAAAAATGGGACTAGGGTCTGATCCCATTGAGGAAGCAGCGATTATTTATTACATAGCAATGAGGAACAGGTGAAGATTCTAAAATGTAGAAGTGGCCATGATCCAATCTGTACTGATTACTGACTTACACAATTATGAATTTGATGTCTGTCTCTCTCCCCTAATGATTAGGTTCCATGAAAGCAGGAAACTGGGTCTCAGTTAGTGCCGCAGCCCCAGTGGCCAGCATTCTGGCACCATGGCACTCGGTGAAGGATGGACCCAAGGAGGAAGAGCTGGTAATCTTTTGGTTCCCTTTCTAGAGTATGAAGCAATTGTTATAGCCACGGGGATTTATGGCCACATGGGGATTCTGACTCCTCCACCCTGTTGTACAAACTGCTGTTACTCTCTTGCTCAGGATGATGGGCCTCTCTCTGTGTTTATGCTTTGCTAATGCACATTCTGCCTGCAGAGTTAACCTACTCTTCACTTCCACTAGCCCTCACTGATGATCTACTCAACACCTTCTCTCCACCCCAACCCCAATCATCACACTAAGTTAGGTCTCCACTGTATTGACAGGGCTTAGTGGGAGCAGATAGGCTTCTATATCATGTAAAATGGTGGGGTGAAGGCCTAAACAAGAG